GTAAAGGGTATGGCTGGACATACTTGATTTTGATGATTTGCTTTCGCGTCTCTGGCGCTGTGATTGTTGGTTACCATCAATTCTTCCAAGACTGCTCCGTCTACGCGGCAATTTCACACCTGGGCCTACCTCTATGGACCCCGTCCCATCCGAGTCTTGTCTCTTTGAGGAGCGGGTTGCCTGTTTAGCTAGACGTGCTTCTTCAAGCCTGTTCTGTTCAACAGACGACATCCCAGCAGTTACGCCGGACAATGCAGAGTCCACAACCCCTGTTATTTCAATGTAGCTGCTCGGGACAACGCCTTCCCTTCCATTCTTTACTCGTCGGATCATCCACCATTCTTCAGATCTCGAGTCATCCAGGATTATGACTTGATCATCAACACACACAGAAACCTCGTCTTCACCCTGAGCAACGAAATCATATAGAATGATTCCCTTCTTCTTGGCGCCGCTAGTGCCAGCTGCGATGACCTCTCTCAACCCTTCGGCCCTGTATCCGCCAGAGATTTCACCAAGAGCAGCCACTATTTCCTGTGCAGTATCTTTGGCTCCTGCATGGAAATCGATGTTTTTACTGGGCCGGACAAGATCGACAAACACATGCTTGCCCTCGATAGAGTAATGTTTTAGTTTTTCAGCAGTCCACTCCTGGTGAGGACCGTCCTCTGACTTTTCTGGTGATATAAATATTGTTCCAGCCGCAACATTGATTCCGAGTGTTGTTGGCATTTTCTTCCTTTTTCCCATGATCGATATCATTTCACTGATATTGTATATGTGGTATCCGGAGGGTGAAGTCGATGTATGCCGGGGGTAAATGTCATCTCGAAGGGCCAACCTGCTATAAGGAGGAGAAGGTTGGACACCTGTTGATTCTGCCTTGAGAGAATCGTGAGGGGATCGCCCACGAGATCTATCTCGGGAGTAGTCTGCTGACGAGTGCAAATGGGCTCTAGGGGACGGAGGAGGTCTATGTTCCTTGGGTGACGGCAAACGGTCTTTTGGGGATTCCTCTTGAAAGTGCGGACGGCGCGGAAGGGCAGGAGCAGGGGCTTCTTCTTCGTGATCTTCATGCGCGGGCTCCACCGTCGGCGCTGCCACTTCAGGTTCACGAGATGGAAGAGCAGGGATTGATCGAGATTCGCCTGGTTGTTGGGTGTGAAGTATTCCGGCAAGGGCGGCGGCAGGACCAGCAGGTGGTTTTGCGGCTTGAGGAGCAGGGGGCGCTTCTTGTTCGGGCTCCGGCTCCGGTTGCGTTTCCGGCTCGGGCTCAGCATATCCGGTTTCTTCCTGGGCCTCAACAGCTGGAGAAGCTGCAGCATCTGCTCCGGGAGCTTCAATATCGCCTATCACCTGGATATAATTCGACGGAGCAAATCCATACTCGGTATTTACCTGGACCAGAGTCCAGTCCGGGTCAGAGGTGTCAAAGATTAAGATATCAACATCGTCTGCAAACGACACCTCCTCGTCCGTTTGTCGCGTGTAGTCGTAGATGGATTTTGCTCGTTGAATTGGTTGTGCCTGTAGCCATAATAGAGATAACACAGTCAGTTAGGAATCAGGAGATTTTCCAACGAGAAGTCGTATCCAACGAAGACGGCAAACAGAGAACAATAAGGGAAAGGGAGAGCTCACCTCCTCCACGTAGTTGTGAGGGATCAATCCCACGGGCTCTTCGGATTCAAACTCGGCAGTTTTCTTCTTTGCTTTCCACCAGCCGTCATCCGAGGACTTATCCAGTATGTACAGCAAGTCGCCTTCGGCAAACGCTAGCTCATTTTCCCCTTGTGGTGTGTAGTCGTACACAGCAGTGTAGACACCTTCAAAGCCCATCTTGACCACCTCCCACGACGATGACCAACGGTTTGTGTATCCTCCTCTCCTGTAGCGCGTTTATTCTGGTCCCTCGTGGGTGTAAACAGGTATATGCAGCCCTTTGGAATCCGGTCTGGGCAATACGTAATGCACGTTAACGGCGGTGTCTCTCGGTAGGTAGACAACCAGGGCAGGCCGAGCAAGACAGATAGCAGTTCTCTAAACCAATCTTCAGAGACAAGAAATGGACGATAGCAGAGAAATAGGTAGCCGGAGTCGTACGAAAGAAGCCGTCACTGCATGCTCTAGACAGCTGCGTGTAGTGGTGAGGGGGGGATTGTTCAGGTGCGGGAGACTCGGTAGCTAGGTGTCCTCGAGCAGTGTCAACAGGCGCAGACGCAGAAATCGAGCAAAGCAGAGATACACAGCGCTGTTGTAACGAGCCTGTCAGACTGATTGATGCTGGTGCAGCGTTCGCCGGCCGGGTCGTTCGTATAGTTAGTTGCAGAGAGAGATGCTCGCTCGAGGTTCGCCGATGTTTCTCGATGTTCGCACTTCCAGGCTGGGCGAACTGGATGGTGTATTTTATGTGACGGCAATACAGGGGCTAAACATGGTGTATTGTGGTATTTTACAGTGCTAATACAGAAGATTACCTAAACATGGCGATGGATCGATGTCTATAAAAGGGGGAAGGCCGCCGCAGCAACGACCATAAGATATCAATTACTACAGCTCGTCCTTCTCGTCCTTCTCCTTCTTTTCCGCCTTATCAGACTTGCCTGTCTTGTCAGTCTTGTGGAGCTTCTCCTTCTTTGCCTTTGCCACTTTGCTGTCAGTTTTGTATGTTTCATCACTACCAGCTTCAGGCGCAGTTTCATCTGACGCTGCTTGCCCCTGTAGTTTGCGAAGCATCCGTACTTTGTTTGACTTTGGCTGCTGCTTGTTCGTGCTCTTCTTCTTCGTCTGCTGCTTCTGCTGCTCCTGCTGGTCCTTGGGGCTAGTCTCCTTGGAAGTGTCCTTGTCTGCTTTGCCTTCGTTCTCTGCCTTGGTTTCTGGCTCTCCTTCTTCTTCCCCTTCGTCCCCTTCCTCCTCTCTTCCAACGTCATCGAATGGATCATCGATGATCGCCCGAAGTCCCTCTCCCCTGCCTGTAGATATCTCCTCCAGTCGCCAATCTTCACCATCTGCAGCTTCGTCTAATTCCTGCTTCAGCCTCTCGAACTTCTCGCTGGTCACCTTGTGCTTCTTCAGTGTTTCCTTTGATAGAACTTTCACCTTGCCTCCTTCGCTTCTTGCCACGACCTTGATCTTTGGCTCTCCACCAAATCCGAACTGGTCCTTTTCGATTCGCTTCCCGTCCTTTCCTACCGTTTTCATAGCGCCAACTTGGATGTCTCCAACTGTGACGAAAGGCTCATCTGTAGTTTCGACCAGCTCCTTCTTGGCACGTTCCTTCTTGGAGGCAAGAGCCGCTTCCCAGATGGATACATGCTCCGGTGATATAATCTCCCGGCACTTTATGCTGTTCGGCTTCTCTACCTGCGGCGGCTGGAATGCCACATCGTTGCATAGTCTTGGAGTGTAGACCATCATGACATAAGAACATGTGGTAACCTCCTTGATCCATGCAATATGCTCCGGAGATTGTGGATGGCAGTGAAATTGCACCTCAATCTTACGGGGTCTCCTTGTCAAATCACAAATAGTACCCCGTTCGAGGTATTGCACCAAGTACCACGACTCTCCCTTGGTTTGCAACGCAGCCACCTCAGTAGAGGCCGCCGTAGGCTGGCCACGCTCTGAATTCTTTTGGAACCTTCCGAGGACATAGGTTTTTGAGTCCGGATCTTCTGCCGGTGGATAGACAGGAACCCCTTGTCCGGGAACTCGTGCATGAAACTGCCGTACCTCCTTCATATAGCAGAAGGAATATGACCACCAGCCTGCAGCGTAGTACAGACATTTCCCTTCAAGGTCACTGAGCAGCTCAAGGCCCCGGTTGGTTGCCCTCGCTAGCTCAAGTGCCTCGTCTTCTGGGTTAGGTGTAGAAGTAGATGTATTATCCTTTCCGGTGGATGATACACTTGGAATTCCACAAAGGAACCGCTGGCCATCCAGAACCATTTCATGATAAGAGTCGATTTCTACATCATCCTCATCTTTCATCAATTCCTCATCATCAGCTTCTGATTCTCCTTGAAGTGGAGCCTGTTCTGATAGATCGAATCTCTCATCCTGGGAAACGATATTCGGTGCGTCTGATGGTTGAGAAGGTGTATTCGTGGAATCCTTATGTCTTGACTGAGATTTGACAAGCCGTAGTTGTGCGTCTGATTCTAATATATACTCGTCAGGAAAGACTACCTCGAACTAAGATGAGCGGCAATTGTTAGAAGCTTGTGTTTCTCCGATCATAATTTCTTCCGGCAAGTAGTACTGATGCCATACCTGAGGGTTCGCTAGCACATCATCCTGTATGCTAAATGGCTTGTGGGCAGCCAACGCAAAGCTTGCGCCAGCTAATAAAGCTGTGAGTGTGCGGTGTCGCATGCTTCAAAAGATATTCCCAACGAAGTCGAGGCGAGTAATTCCTCGTTCGTTCGGTTATTAATCAATGAGTCCGGCCACAAGCTATTTCAGCGCTTGAATCATGACCTATGTAAAGAGAAATGAACGATTTGGTGATGTTGTTCGTTTCGACGTGTTTGATCAAATTATTGACAAGAAGCCATGTTTGTTTGGGAAAAGAGTGACTAGGCGAATGCGCATTAGCTCTATATAGGCAGCCAATGTAAAAGTCAGCAATTGCACGCCGGACAGCATATCAACAGCAGTATCAACTTACCTAGTTATCAAATTGTATATCAAGAGGATGGACTGGATGTATTTCGGCTTTTCCAATTCATTGAAAGGTGGCTCGATGTTCATGGTTACGTAATACAAACCCTACGACGTCATTTCCGATAAGATAAAAGAAAACAAAAGGGGAAAAAGGGCAGTTCTTATCAATCTACAACTCATCGATAACATCGGAACACAGGGGAATAGAAATAACATGAAATGAATGCTCCAGTAGATACCTAGGATAAAAAGTTCTATATAACACAATCCGCTGGAAGAATGGGAAATCCCCGATAAAACTGGGTACGCACTTTTCATCAAATGGCGGTTTAAGTTTATTCTGTTCGCAGCACTGGCCTTCCTCGCCGTTTGCTAGCAGTAGTCTTCTTCTTGTGGCCTTTTTCAAACGCAGCTGCACTTCCGTGGTCTCGGCCTACGTTATCGAGATCCTTTACTTTGTAAATTCGAATGATCCAGTTTTCACTAGTGAATGCCTCCTCGATCGTGGTTAGTTGAGGCCCTTGAGAGGGAAGTCGGACACCACGGACACGGTCTTGCGCTTGGCCGGGAGGAAAGAGGTTGTGAAAGTCATAGTAGGACATTTTGTACCTAGTAGCAGCTGTTAGTGAAAGGAAAGCCTTGGTACAAGTCACTCCAGGTATACTTACATTAGACTGTTGCGCATCGCTGGGCTAGCATGCTCGTCCACGCGATATTCTCCGCGATCAGTGAAAAAGTCTCGTTCCTTGACCTCTTCAGGCCAAATACCTTCAGCAATGCGAATCATCCACAAAAACTTGTTGATGTCATCTCCAGAGTATCCTAGTAGACCTCCGAACACGACAAGCACGTAGTCCACATCGTGCTGTCGTAGGATAGGATAGCTGACTTCTTCACTGGAGCTCATTGCTTTACCAACTGTAGCAATATGGGTGTTGTTCCAGGTATTGTTGTCAACCAAAGTCGGTCGATCGGCCATACCTCCAATTTGATATCCGTAATCCCACCATGCCATTATCTTGGTATTCTTAGGGGTATTCTGTCGAAGCCAGTAGTACGCTTCACGGTAGTCATCAATAATAAATTGACTGCCATCAGGCAATCTGCTGGCTAGTACGACAGAGGGGGAGGAATAAGCGTTGGAGGTGACCCAAGTACAGTGGGCAACGAAGAAGAGAAGATAGACCAGAACAGTTCCTGACACGACTAGCTTTGAGAAGTTCGAGTAGATACCCACAACCTTATTGCGAGCAATGCGTAGGCCGCCTTGAGCCGACTTATCGCCGGATCCTTGTTTTTTGGCGTCCGGATTGGAGGAGTCCATACGTAGATAGACATCCAATATCTGCGACAGGGCCAGTCCGGCAGCAACGCATACCACAGGGGTAAGGGTTAACATCAATCGAACCATGACTCCGGCAAAGTAACTGGCCAGAACGGCGTAGATAATAATAAAGACATGCTCATCTTTAAGTCTGTAGAAACACATGTATACGCCTGGTGGGAAGAGCCAGATCATCATGTTCAAGTCGAAATAGAAAGCTGGCCAGGAGGTAGGCTGATGTTCTGAGACGGATGCAATGATAGGGATGTGAATCTTTGCGTAGCCAGTATCCCACAGCGAGTAGAATCGTCCACTCCATGGGGCAATGACTCCTGAGACCGTCAAGAGTACCAGTCCAGCAAATGACACGATGAAAACCAAGAGGACAAGGCTAGTAAGAACAGTCTGGAACTGTTTGCTGGGAACCTGGGCACGCAGGAACTCGACAAAGGCAACAATTTGAAGGAGGCCAAATATACCTAGCCCAATGGTTAGCAGAATCCAGTACGCATGGGTACCAACCGTACTTACCAAGAGCTGCCATGTGGTCACTGTTGCGAATTGGTAGGAAACCAACGAAAGGAATTTGCATGCTGGCTAGGGTTCCAAGAGCATACCACGTGGTATAACTGATATATAGACGGGATGTATACCTTCCCATGCAAATAAGGACGAAGACATGTAGAGGAATCAAATTGGTAATGAACACATATCCACCCCAGGCAGACACCATGTACCCGTAGAACAAAGCTGTCAAAGCACCCCACATGATCGATCCGTTCTTCACAGCCTTGATCCAGAGGAAGAATGTAAAGACGAGAAGGAAGATGGCAATTGCTTCGTTATCGTAACTTCCAGCCACAGAACGGGAGATGTAACCCGGCGCAATTCCAACAAAGGCAGCGGCTAGAAGACCGGCTGATGGAGAGGGAGCCATCTCTGTAGTGAGGAGGTACATGGCCAGGGCTGTCAGGCCAGAAAAGGCGGGAGCAAGTAAGACGCATACGTTTCGAATATCGACGGGAAGAGCGAGAAGTCGGAGGAGTTTATAGATAACACCGCTGGTGACCATTAAGCCAGGGTAAAGAGTGCCACCAGTGACACGTCCGAGGGGATGCCATGTTCCTGAATAAAACTCCGTCAGTATAAAGGTCATTTTTCCAGGGACAGCAGAACCGTCTACCCCAAAGGGTGCGGCGGGGAAAGAATGTAGAGCTTCATACGGTCATCGAACCAGTCCCAGAACTTGTAAAAACCATGCTCAACCAGGTATTTTGTAGCTCGGAAATTAAACCATGGATCGACTATATCGGCGCATTATGGTCAGTTACAGTCGGCTTCGCAGGGAAGAATATTGTTGGACTGATCTCCATAGTCCAAACGGGTAATCGTACATTCGTGGATAATACTTTCAAATCCTAGTTAAAGCAGCAAAACAGTTAGCCATTACGCTCGATATTGGTCTGTAGGACGTAGTAAAGTGAATTGATTGCGGAGACATCCATACTTATGACACTGAACAATCTGCTGGAGACTGCTGCTGCGGCGATGAGCAGTAAGATAACGACACGCAGCAGCCCACGGGTGTTTTCAGAGGTGCTGCCCTTTAGAAACGGCTCAATTGCACCGCTGGCCATGATGGCCCGACGAAGGAAGAAGAAGCTAGAGACGAGAAAGAGAAGACAGCCTTGACTGTTGCGCTCATCGATCAACTTCAGCTTGTCTTGCTGAAGCTGCTGCCGCTGCTCGTCTTTCTAGACTTGCGAACGCAACACGCTGGCTTTGAGCTTAGTCAGCAGAACTGGCCAACTTCCGGTGCCAAACTTCGACTTTGATCATTTTGGCTGCTTCATTTCTCTCATAAACTACACTGATGCCCAATTCGATCATTTCCTGAGCTGTCTGCTTTACTTCTTTGCGCTAAATATGAAGCTGTTTCCTGCTCAGAACCAAAGATAGCAACTATTCGACTTCTGTGCGGAGCTTCCTCCAGCAATCGCGGTAACTCGGAAAGATTCCTCTCATGGGTTACGACTAGGGAGGGCATACCCAACCTTGTGCCTATCAAATAGCAGCCTCATCACAAAACATATGGCCTACTATGGAGGGAAGACACCGAGCCAAGCAGGCAACCGTCTGATTCGGGGAATGGCCCCCAAAATTCCACCAGTTGACGGCGCTAAGCTGCATTGATTTCACTGCGCCGCACATGGGACCCTGGGTTACCCCCTGGTCAGCTACTCTACCATGCATGTTGACTGGCTGAGAAGCCATTATTTGGCACTGACCGCCTTGGATACTATGAGTCATATCAGTTTTTGAGGCTTTTTGTCCATTCATTCAACCATCCTTAAGCACAACGTTGCTCAGACACCGCACATGTTGCTGCATGGCTTTTTTGCAAAGGGGTGGCCGCCTCTGATATTAGCGAGTATCCTTGGTCTTTTACCGAAGTGTTTGCAGTATCGGGGCTTATCTAGTTTGCGCTGGCACCACATTATCCAATCGTTGGAACAGGGCTACTTGCATTGCAGCCTTTCCCGGAACAGGGAATCACAACTGTCGATTGCTCGATGTTGCTGCCTTGATAAGGTCTCTCTCCTTTTCCTGTCATTTCCCACCCTCTGCTTTGCGAGGCAAATGACTATATAAACCCCCTACTTTTTTGGAATCTTCCACTTTTATATAATAATTCAAAGCAGAGCCAGATATTACTTATGAAACAAGGCTTTCTAATACCGCCTACTTACTCCCAAATTATCCCCTACTTTTTCACCACTACGAAGCACTTTCGAGAACTATTTGCTACTTCTCAAGATGCCACCAAATTGTGAGATGCCGTCCAGCTCTAAGACAGCAGCCATGACAACCAGGGAGAAAGCCAATCTCATCAAACAATTGCAGGATGAAGCACTCCGTAATCTTTCTCCGAACACCCTTTACATTGTACTCTATCTCCGATCGGATCCTCCTGAACCAAACAATTTTCACTGGGGTTTCTACTTCCACGGGGAGCATGTGGGTGGATGGAAATATCACATGAGAAATTTGGGTGATGGATGGATAGCGGACCATGGAACGTCTTCCGGTGTCTTCAAATCAACATTTCTCTGTGTTCTCATCCAAATCGCAGATATTCCGAGTGCAAAAAGGGACCAACTTGACCAAATCATGCGATCTCGTGATGGAGATGTCAATTCTATCCCTGGAATGAGCTGCAGAGTCTGGCTACTAGAAATCCTACATCAGTTGGCTCAGCAGGGTTTAGTCAGGTGCAGTGACTGTAAAGCTCTAGAGCAGGAGTGTTTCAGAATTGGGAACCATCACAGCTATGGAGCTTCGAAGAATAATCAGCCACGCCCCGTTGTGAAGTCTGAGCTGTGCTATTAAATATCTTCTCCCCGAATAATGAAGTTGATGGGCTGCCCAGAAAGCTAAGGGCATACATACGGGAATATCTCTGGAAATCTCTGAATATTAATTATATAGCTTTACCATGTCAGCTAGCGATATTTCATTTACCAAATCTCAACTCGATCTATTTTATATTTATTATACATTGGTTTCTTAGGTATAAATTAATTTAAGAAGCGGGGATGAAGCACGACAGTAGTTATGTATGGTGGATGGATTAAAATAACAAAATAATCCTCCCGTATAGGTCACATTCCGACATACGAATCAACTGTCAACAGATTCAAGGCAACATCTGAAGATAGCTCCTGCGAATACTGGTCCCCTCCCATCCATGCAGCCACTTGATACCACCAGCTATTCCGCCCAAACCTCATAGCTGTAGTAAATTCCCAGTATTCGGGGTACCACCCGGCAGATTCCCAATCTAGAAAGCCTGACAAATGTCCGTCGTTGTCAACAAGGATATTGTGAGCTTTAAAGTCGCCATGGGTGAACACCACCCGATGTGGCCTTTCGTATATCTTCCTCGCTTCCACTAGCGTCTCCTGGAACTTTTCTTTCGAGGGAAAACCGTGTGCTGAAGCGGCAGAAAAAAGATAATCATATAAGTCCTCTTGAGTTGTGAACGGCCCCATGATATGGCGCGGAACCCGCTGGCTCAATATCGGGGTTCTAAGCACGGAACCGGTGAACAGCTTCTCGGGAGGGCTCCATTGACGCATGGCATCTACACAGGTTTTCAACTCCTCGAGCCATGGTTCCTCCCCTTCAACCTGTAGTAGATCATCAGAGTTCTCAAGGGTTATTCCGGGAAGCCTCGTCATCAAGATCGAGAAAGTTCTATTGAATGGTTGATTTGGATGTTCGCCGCAACAAAGAAATTTGGGAGCCGGAATTCCAGCTGCTGCTACCATTTGCATTGCTGCGACCTCCTCCAAGTTCGTTCGATCCGTCCATTTCATAAGTAGACCGAATGGCAGCTGGACAATGTTGTGATCAAATGGAATGCCGAACCAGTGGCAGTACCATTTGGAAAAGTGGCATAGACCTCTATGAATGAGCCCCCAGATGAGTCTAACTGTCCTGCCTGGTATGTGAGGGACTGGAGGAGTTATCTCAGATACTCGAAGCAGTGCTGGACGTTGTCGTGGCCATGTATAGTCGGGCCGAAGAATCTGGGGCATCCACAGGCTGGTCATCTCTTGGATGCGGGAACTTCATATAACAGATTTTGAAGGTCAGCCGCCTCTTGATAGTAGAGCCTGCAGCTAAGAAGTACCCGTAGCTGTAAAACGGCGCGACACACAGAAGGATATCTATCTTCCAGGTAATAATAATATACACTTGATTGCTATTTATTTATCCCTTGAAGTTACCTTGTTAAGCTATTTAAACTTTCAACGACAAAAAAAGGCCCAGCCAAGCAAGGTGGATGATGACATAAGCACGCTGCTTTAATCCTGCTTGTTCGAGCCCAAAAAGTCCTTTGCTTTGGTCACGCTGCAATATCAAGGGACGACGATGGTTAGCATCCGGATACATCCCTCAATAATTGAAACACAGCAAAGAGAATGCCTTACTGTCCCTGGTCATCGATCTCACCACCCTCTTCTGGCGGAATAACCCGGTGATCACTCCCGCTGGCCGTCGAGCCAGGTCCTACCCTCACCTGTGCGCCTGGGAACTTATTCTCTGCACCTGCATCGACGCCGGTTTCTTGGGCTGGTAGAAGAAGATGTCAGCATGGGATTGATAACTGAGAAGAGAGGGATACGAACCGGTATCGCTGATGTTCTTCCCTCCTCTACCGGTCTTTGCCTGGTACGAGTTGAGGTCTTTCTCGGCTTGATATGCTTCCTGAGACATGATCATAGATTGAATAGACGTATATTGGTAGGTGACTGGAATGTTAATTCGACCAGAACAGGTACGGAGTATGGCGGTTTACTGTGAATATATAAATAAGTAGAATTTGCTATGACATCATGTTACAAGATATATGGCTACTTTGACGTAAGATATTATGAACAGGGACGTGGCGACGATGAACTCCTAACATTCAACAATTTATCAATTAAAGTACATGCAAGAGGAAACATGCAAAGAAATGTCTGAGGGGCACAAAGTCATATCTCATCAATTGAGCCATAAAACGAAAACAGTGCAATGCTCCGGGAAACCCAGCGTGGTACATGAAAATTCTAACCCATATCGAAAATAAGAAATAATCATCAACTAGTCGATCTATAGCATTCTCTTTCCGATTTCGCTCTGCCAACCTCTGGCCCGTTCGAAACCGTTAGAGTGCGACTGGAAGTCACTGATGGCCTGGTAAACGTCCTCCGTGGAGCTCAGGACAAAAGGACCGTACTGGACGACCTGCTGGTCAAGAGGCTGGCCGGCAATTATCAGGAAGCGAGACTCCTCGTCAGACTCGTTTGAAGCCTGGACCGAATCTCCCTCCTGTACGAACTCAACATTGTGGTACTGAGGGATCTTCTTCTTGTTGATAGTAGTGGTGCCTTCGAGGGTGTAGGCAAAGGCGTTCCATCCAATAGGCAGTATTTGGTTGATTCTTCCGCCTGGCTTGAGAGTGATGTCCAGTATCCAGACAGGCGTGTAGGCTAGGTCCTTGACCGAGTCAATGCCATGAGACTTGCCGGAGATGACTTTGATAGTGGCTCTTCCGCCATCCGCAGAGGCAATTGGGATCTCCTGGGCGCGAAGATCACGGTATCTGGGTTCACACATCTTCAGTTTCTTGGGTAGGTCAACCCACAGCTGGATGCCGACATTGGGGCTGCCGTCTGGGTTGTTATGGGGCATTTCAGCGTGCATTATGCCTCGACCGGCAGTCATGAATTGCAGATCGCCTGGGCCGATAGTGCCTTTGTGTCCGGCGAAATCTTCATGATCTACACCGCCAGAGAGAAGGTAGGTGATGGTCTCTTGGCCTCTGTGAGGGTGGTCGGGGAATCCAGCGTCTTTGCCAACGGTGAAATGGTCCAGCATGAGAAAAGGGCTGAAGTTGCGTAGTTTGGGAGTGCCGATGGACCGTCGCACGCGAGCACCCATGCCCTCTGACTTCTCAATGGCCAGAAAGGCCTGTCTTATGGCTCTTGGGGCAGACATGTTGGTATGTACTGGGCTGTTTGTGATGGTGTTATTGGTCAGGGAGCTGTTTGTAGTAGTGCTGGAAGTGTTATAGAGATTCAATGTCTTGACTTGGTATATCGAGGCAACGATGGAAATGAGAATGATGAAAAGAGAAGGAAAAGTCCAGCCCATGGAGAATGAGAGGGTATTTATAGTCGGATATCAGGACGAGAATCTTCTATAAGAAGACTACTAATGCCATGAGTTAGACAGAGTCTTGCTGGCCGTGTGTCCATGACGGAGGCTTTATAAGGCCTTAGGGAAGCCTGAGTAAGACCAGACAAACCAGGCCCACCGCGCAATAACTATAACCTAGTTAATTAAGCTTCTGGCCAATTATTTCTTATGGAACTCCGTGCATGCCGAACCAACTTGTCGGTTCTCCGTCATGTTGTTTGGTTATCGTTGCAAGCTGTCTGGCTGGCCGGCTTGTTTGCTGGTCGAAGGCGAAAACGAGGAAAAAGCAAAGAAGCAGCAAAAAGAAGGCGTTTGTCATCACTGACAAAAGCAAGCCTCGGCTCTGCGGGAGGGCTTAGCGGGCTTAGCGCAGCATGACAAAGACGGCTGTAAGCAGGGAATCCAAGGTAGAAATAGGGCGAAAGGAGCAGAGGCATGGGGATGGCTATGGATGGCTATGGGGCCCTTTGTGCATGGTTTGCTGTTGAATCTGCTTACTCGACGAACAGTCAGATGTTTGGTTTCCCATGGGGGGGTTGCTGGTCGACTTCTTATTCGTTGCATTGTGTGCGTTAGATATGCATCAAGTACGGAGTATAGGCGGTTGGGACGAGATATACAGAGATGTGCTCGAAATTATGGAAATAATGGGCTCCATTAAAGTAAACCTAGCTGAGCATGGGAGGATAGCAAAGGAAATAGAAGGACTCGGGGGATTGTGGTTGATAAGAGGTAAGGGGGATATGGATCAAGGGGATTCGCGTGGGTGTTCATAGTGAACATCCTTTCCCCGTACAGATTTACAGAGTATTCGGCTCGTCTTTCATCGGAGTGTAAGATTACTTTGCAAAGTGCAAGTCGTAAGAGAGCCACTTTCTGGCGTTGATTCCAGCAACGTCCAAGCCTGGAGTTCCGTAGGTGAGTGGAGCAAAGAAGCCGAAGCCCCAGATTGTTGCTCCCAGGATCGCGATAGTAGCGGCCCAGATGGCCAGGAGGCTCTGCCGAGTGTGCTTGATCTTTAGAGGGCCGCGGCCAGGCTTGCTAGCCACGAAGTCCTCGCTCAAGCCGGCGGGGTCAATGTTGAAGATAAACTCGACCAGGGCGCCGGTGACCAGAACAGACGCTACGTGAGAAGGGAGATAGTGGTGCAGGAAGCGTTGTCTGCCCATAAGATAGAACGGGAAGTAGTGAGCTGCCCAGCAGAGGAAGAAGAAACCGGTGCTGTTGTACAGGCGGTGACGGGTTCCTGGGCCCCAAACTAAGTGAATACCATTAGTTCATGACAAACGATGATATGTAGAAGGCATGTACCTACTTTCTTCAAGAGCGTCGATTCCACGACGGAGAGCGAGCTGATCGGCTCCGAGGATACCGACAAAAACCGCGAGCAAACTGCTGCAAAGCCACCATCCAACGGGGTTTCCAAGGAAGTAGATTTGCTCTCGGGTGTCGTTCTTTGTCCAGAAGCTGACACCACGAAGCAAGAAGGGCCACTGGAATGGCTCACTGGCGTACGGATGGCTGCTCGTCAAGGCATTGTTATGGTGGAACATGGCAGCCTGGAGTTCGAGGTACTTCTTCAGGAAACGCATTGGCTGGACCTTGCGGGGTTCCTGGTGGCTTCGAGGGCTGTCTGGAGCCAAAGAGGGGATATCTTCCGCATACCAGAGGTTGCTTGGCTCCTTGGAGTTCTTGTTTCCGTTGATTTCAGCCTGCTTGTATCCCCAGTCTGGCAGAGGATTGGTATGAGTCCACATGGCAACCTTTGAAGGGAAATGGATTAGGTTGAACAGGCTGGAGCGAGTTCGGAATTCCTCATCAGCCTTGCCCTTGGGGACCTGGATCTCGAACAAGGTGTCGTTATGTCGGTTGCCAGCCGCTTCTTCAGGAGAGATGGTGGTAAACTCCTGGTTGGTTGGGTAGCTGGGAGATGCAACATCGTGTGAGAGTAGGAAGGTGTTGGTAGCGACATGGCGGAGCTGCACGATATGTCCATTGCGAACTTTGTGTCCGGTACGGTTATCAGAAGCAAAGGCAACCTGAGGCAGGATTTCCCAGTGGTTGTTGGTGTCGTTGTGAGGGTACCCGGTGACCTGCTGGCCCTGACTGGAGACACGGCCGTCATCATATCGAAGAGGGTAGCGGTCAGGGTGACTGTGTAGGTAGACCTTGGTGTCCTTGTGCCGGAAGGTAAGCACATCATAGTATTCAACTCCCTTGGACTGAGCAAACATGGGGTTATCGCTGAGCGAGGCCTGGAACTCCGGGCTCATGAAGTCATCACCGGGGCCAGACTTGGTGAGAATAGCAAAATGGACCTGGAACCAGAAGAGGTAGATGAAAAAGGGGACGATAATCAATCCGAACGCACGAGCAGCGAAATGGGTACCAAACTCGAATAGACTAAGCTTGCCCTGGCGGCGGTTCACATCAAGCAATCCCCATAGATCGATCAAGACAGCAGATCCAATGGTCACGAAGGTGAAGACACCAACATACTTGGTCGAGATGACACAGCTGAGAGCAATTCCGGTCATAAGCATCCATTTCCACCACTTTCGGCTAAAAGGCTGATGTCTGTTCTTGTGGAATTTGATATAGCAGAGCACACTCAATGCCATTGAAATCACAAGAGTGGCATCAAGTAGAATCAGCCTATCTTCGCCGATATGGGCATTGTCGAACAGGAGTAGACCGGCGGAAAGAACACAGGCAGGAAGCGAGTAACCAGATTCCCACATAATGAGAAACACCACGGGGACGGTCAGGGAGCCAAGCATGGCCGGTAGAGCGCGAAGGGCAACATAAGGCACCTTGTTGTCCGTGTAGGAGTCTCCAATGTTTTCAAAAAGGAATTTTCCATCGAATCCAACTAGCCAGCCGACCAGCGCAAAGAGGAGTTTGGCAAACGGCGGGTGGACATCAAAGAAGTATGTGCCTTGGATATACATTATCAGCCCCTATGCACTTTACATTCTTTCCCTCCCATCTACCCTATTAAGACAATTATATCAAGGTATAGCAATGGATTCTAAACTAACCTTTCCGAAGTGTACTTCATCAAACACCACCTGGTCAGGATAGCTGATCTTCCAAAACCTCGTAGCAAACGCGCCCAGGGTAACCATGACCAGGGCAAGTCTGTAATCCCATTCTGATGAGGACTCGGTCCGTCCCTTTCCCTTCTTTGCAGCTGGCTTATTTTCAGCGCTCTTCAAGCCCGGCGCGGCTGCTGGAGGGGGAGTCGAGCTGTCGACGTTCTTCTTACTGCCCCGGTGTCGAACGCTGGAGGACGGGGAAGCCATCGTCTGGCAGACAGTCGTAGGCGTAGACTCTGCAGTATATCCTCTACCCTAACAGCGAGAATCTGCTTTGAGAGGAGTGGAATTCGGTATGTTATCAACTGTCCAAACTGAACACGTTAGCATCAAAGGCCCAGCGTCGAGGAAGGGGGACAGGACGGGCAAAGTAACGCGAATCTGTCGCTGCATACCTCATGCACGTGAGAATGAATGAAAAAAAGGAAAAAGAGCCTTAAAAGGACATTATTAAAGAGCGTTAAGAAGGGTAGAAAGAAGAGTAATTAAAGAGAAGACGAAGAAGAAGAGCAAGAAAGGGGTGGTGTTGCTGGAGGCGAAGACGATATCGAAGTCGCAGCTTTTTTTTTCTTCCCTGCAGGCGCTTGGCCAGCGTCTCCTGAAACCCCAGACAGGCCGTTTGTTAATTCTCCGACGGACACGAAAAGAGAGCGAGCGAGCTATGCATATACAATAATGATAATAATTGGTAGTAACAATGGCTATACAGTCGGATTTCCTTCTAGTACAGTGGTAAATGCTCAGGTAGTTATGCATCCAAAGCAGCAAAATCATCAGTAAGAATAGCAAGACAAGGCTGAATACACCAAAAACGCCGTCCATGCAGGGCTTTAATCGTCATTTTCCATCATTTCAAGCATTTCGAGCTCCCTCGTTATCATGGCCTGGTACTCTGCTCGCGACATACCAGCCGCCCTGGCAAGGCGGAACATGCTTTTGACGTTGGTCGAGACGTGCTGGCGGATGGCCATCTCAGAGGCCGACTGGCACTCCGCTGAGTACTCGAGCTTGGAGATAGCGTCAGACCGGTTCGAGGACGAGGCGGAGGCAGGTCTTGGGTGGCTGAGTGGTAGTTCTGACTCTTCGGCTGGCTGTCTTCCGCGTTCAGGTGCGGCGGCAGACTGAGACTGTAGCTGCTGTTGCTGAATGATGTTGCTCATCTGCCGTTTGAAGATGTCTTCCAGGGTATTGCCGTTGAGAGAAGAGTCTCCTACTCCGGCCTTGTCCATGGTAGGGTCGTCGCTGTCCAGGGCAGGCTGGACATTGGAGTACTGGTTGTAGTATGCGGCATCAGACATCTTCTCCCCGCCGTGGCGGTCGTGCTGTTCTGGAACCAAGCTGGCTGCACCGTTCGCCGGCGTACGAGACTGTACATTGTCATACTGGGCCCAGTAGTCGTCCTCGTCCTCTCCGTCTCGATTGTCATCCTCGTGCACAATGACAGGGACATTGGCCTTTGCCTCTTTCACAGGTTCCTTGGCCGTCGACTCTCGTAGGGCCTCGTTGGCCTCCTCAATGGAGCGGAACCAGGCACCCTCTTCGTCTCGCAGAGCGTCAAGAGGGAGGACTTCAGCGACTCTCCATCCAGCACCACCGCCCTCCTGGTCCAGGGGGCACCACTCGTACACTACCGTCAGCCCAAACTCGTCCAGCGGGAGCTGACAGCGTAGGGTCTCGGCGTCAAACCATCTATACGCTATTATGATATCGTCAGGGATCTCTATCTCTCCCGACACAGGGTGTGGTTCAAACGAGCTCTCTGCCTCGCCCACAATCCTCTCCACTTCCGCAGCATTGGCCGGGCCCCAGCACAGCAGTCGGAGCCACGACTCCGCCGACGAAGTAGAACCAGCGCCCGAACCCGCAACCAGCAGCTGTACTCGCTGTCGAAGGACCGGAGAGAGCAGAGGGAGCAACACTGGCGGCGGCCTCGAAGCCGCAAAGCCGAGGGGAAGACAAGCAAGCAGCGGCGCCAAAAGCTGTCTCGGCTCAAGAGGAGGGATGTAATCGACCATAGTCAGAGGGTGAAATCAAAGCTCCGTCAGCGTCAGTATCGAGCGTTATCTCTGTTTCTTTCTGCTTCTTCCTCTTGTTCTTCCTCCTCCCAGGCTGTCGGCTTTATACTCAGAGGGGTGTGAAAAGTCACGCGTACGGATAGTTAAGCGGCCGAAGCGAAAAGTGACAGTTCCACGATGCTTGCTTCTTTGTTGGCACAGAGGCGCATGAGGGCCAAATATGGCTCTTATGGCAAAGCGAAAGATGACAGACAAGCAGGAGAGCTGCAGCTAGGGGGGGGTTAGCTAGGTTAATATATGTGTTCTATACGGCGGATTCCAGCAGGTGGAAATGGTTCCGTCCGCCCAAGGGTGCATTTTTCTTTTGACTCCACGGCTAGTTCCCTCAAGGGCCGCCGGGGCAGGACAGGGCAGCGCGAGACTCGGTGAAGCGAAGACGGCGGAGAGCTTTTTTCACTCAAGCGGACAGCTCGACATCTCCATCTTCTCCCGTCTTCGCCTTCACTTCGTCCCTTGCTTTGTCTCTTGATTTTCTGTTCTTTTTTGTTGTTTTTTTTTTTTTTTTTTTCGACTTTTTTGGTGAGAAAAAGTGATGGACGTCATAGGCTTAGTCAGGGCTTACATAATATCCGCCATAGAGAGATTCGGCTATAGAGACAGAGACAGCGACAGAGGATAGAAGTAGTTATAGATGAAGATGATGTAGAAGATGACAGTTGGTGTAGATAGATGATAGATAGAATAGAAAATAGCGGAAGAGATAGGTTACGCTGGATTAGTTTATCGCAGGTGAAGAACAAGGGGTATACTAAATACGGCATATGTATGGTACAGGAGCAGCGAGGAGCCAATGCAGAAGAGGATGACAGCGTGAAAAGACCAAGAAGAAACAGAGTGAGCGAGGCAGCTACAGGTTCCTCTCACGGCTGGCCTGTTCAAGTCGGCCCGTGAGGCGCTTCATGCCCGCCCATTCGTCCGCAGAGACGTCTTCAGCACTGCCACTCAGCCCCTTTCCAACATCGAAGACAGTAACCACTCCATCAAGGCCACCGGTAGCAATTTTTCGGCCCTCTCGTTCTTCCCACGCGACCTTGTTCAGTCCCTTAGTCAGGACACCGCCGCGACCAGCGGTTGGCGTGGCGCTGGCAACGGGCACCTCCACCTCCTGCTGCAAGTCCCATATCTCAAGCCTTCCAGCTCCGTCAACAAGGGAGAAGATGCTGGGTCGATGAGGGGACCATTTGGCGTCATACACTACATCCTCGCGAGTGATGTCAAGGATAGGTGAGACGGTCTGTAGCTGAGCAGTGGAAGAGGTTCCGGATGTCGAGGTCGATGCCGGGGCTCGGATACGCCATAGTTTTACGCTCCAATCTAGACTCGAACTGAGCATCAAATCGCTCAGATCTACCGGTCCTCGGGCAGGATGGAAGGCCGTTGACATGATTGGGGCTGCGTGGCCACGGTAGGAGAGACGGTGGTCGGTGCCGGACTTGGCCCCTGCACGGTCATATCGATGGCATGGATATATCGTCCCCTCTTCAGTGCCAACAAGGAAGAAAGTCGGGTCTGACTGGGGGAAGGACAGTGTCGTGGGAGCTAGGTCTTCGGTCTTGGATGGAGGAGGCGTGGTCAGTTCCAGGTATTCCTGTGGCTGTGAGAGCATGTCGACCGTCCATCCACAGACAACTCCGTCCGTTGAAGCTGTCAGAATGTTATGTGCATTCTGTGTTCCCACGATCGCAATGCTGTACACCGGGTGGGTATGACCGGAGCCCGACAGCGGCGTCTTTTGTACGGGAGAACCACCTCCCGCTCGGGATGATCGCGTATCCCACAGCAGAACCTGTCCAGAGTATGACCCGCCCACGATCAGGTTCGGGTGAAACGGAGAGAACTTTGCCGTCAGTATGTCTGAAGTTGAGTGAAATACGTATTCAGGGCGTGTGTGTAGATGTTGGTTCCACACTTGTACCAGGCCATCTGGTTCATGAGGAGCTGTTGGGTTTTTGGTATAAGATGCCAAAACAAGCTCAGGAAACTAGACATTTCATCAGCATGATACATTACCTTCCATAACCAGCAGCAGATAGAAATAGGAAGAGAAAAAGCACACCTTTGGAGAGAAACTTATATCGCTGATCATTCGTTTCTTGCTCCATCGTTCGTCGAAGAATTGTGTGAGTTCTTTCAGGTCTCTTCTCTTCTTGCCCGTGCCATACTCTTCATCATCCTCGTCCTCTGCGCCAACGCCGCCCAGGGCATAATCAGCAAGAACGTCATATTCTTCGTCCAACGCTCTCTCAATAACTTTGCTGGATCTTTCAACAAAATCCAAAAACTCGCTTGCTGAAGTCACTGCATTCAGCTCGTCCGCAGTCAATGTTCGGAGTGGGTATCGCAGTTGCGTAGATGTTGTTGTTGGTCCGCCATTGGCCCAATCCTTTGCTAGTTTTAGCTCTTCTTCGATCTCCTTTCGTAAGTTATCACGTATCTCTTCGTCTTTCTCTCTGGCTTTCCGACTGAAACGCTTAGACGTTCGAGATGGTGTGGTAGGTGAGCCACCGTCTTCCAATTCCGATATATCATCATCTACCGGTGTTTCTGGCTCTGGGATGGAGTCTGTCTGGACACCTTTGCTGTATGTAAGGATTTCTACCTTTGGGGGAGCTGCTGGGGCTGGTTCTGGTACGGCATGGTAGGGCGTTTCATCGATTGTTTGCGTAGCTATAGATAGGGACATAGGTCGGGCTGGAGGTGTAAATGTTTCCATATCTCCGCTCAACTGTCCAGCGCTGAGAACCGAATTAGGCCTGCTACCCCGGCCTCTTGGAGACTGCTCGCCTCCATCTTTCAAAGCTGCTGACGAAGGCCTATCAACCAATCTGGATATGAGGTTGTCTAGTTCTGCTCTGTTGTCAGATCGATTTGGAACGGGAGCCACCACCTATGAAAACATTAGTTATACTGCCCAGCACAACTGCCACAGTTCAATCGGACCAAATGTATACAGGCTACCTACCTCAGAGCTCTCCCCAACACTCATGCGATTCTGCGAGAACTCCCGCTGTCGTAGCTCTCGCTGCCGCTTCAACTCCGCGAGCTTGGCCTTCTTCGCGAGTATCTCCTCCTTTCTCAGCTGCATATTCCGGTCCGCCATCTTCGCTCTTCCAACCGGCTCTCTCTTATCCACCTTGTCTTCGTCTTCTTCGCCTCTGCTGCTGCTGCTGCTTCTTGAAACCGCCGTACTCAACCGTGTAGTCTGCCCAACTGCCTGCCTCGAACCTCTTCTCGCTGCTCTGCTTTCATCCCTGGCGTTGAATGGACATCAAAATATTACATAAGCGGAGCCAGGAACATCAGAAAATCCCGGAACGTTCAATCTCAAATCCGAACTTGGGTCGAAAAACACCACCAAGCAGTCGTCCGGAAACCTCCATTGAGCTCAGATCGCAAGTGGCTGCTGTGCGAATTGCATCGCCAGAGATATATACTCTTCGTCTCCTCCCGCTACCTCGCTATTTTTTTGACTCCCCTGCTGCTGGGGATTCTTCCCTAACTTTCGTGGTTAAAAATGGCAACATCTCAAGGAATTAACGTAAGGCTTCAATCGCGAATTCCTGCCCGAAGAGAATGATATACGAATGTCAATTGTTTCGATGGCATCGTGGGTGATACTGCGTGATGAATTTTCTTTTACTGATGTTCATGCGCTGGTGTAGGTCCTGCGATATTCCGCTCTCTTCGCGGGTGTCTTCTACGGTTTATACCACCAGTCTACTCTCAACACACAAGCGAGAGCTGCTCAGATAGAAAAAGAATACAAGAGAAAGGAGTCTTTGATAGAGCAGGCAAGGGCTGAATACAAGAACAAGATCTCGCCACCAAAGAAGGACGACAGCAGTGGTATGTTAACCGCTCTAAACACCGCATAAACAAGTTTTTCTTCATCCGGCCCTCCGGCTCACCAGATAAAATAGTTATCACAGATCCAAACGATGCGCGATTTGACCTAGAGGCTCTTTTGAAGGCTACCGCGGGTGAGACGGCGAAATAAGACCGTGACATTACATCTGGGGAAGGGAAAAAGTGATGACAAGATGGGTTATTGGGCAGCGCAGCCAGCCCATTATCTTGAATTCGGAAAATGCCATGATCTGGGCTCGTTGATGCTGCTACCAAATGTGAACGTGGCCTCGGTCCCAGCACTTGGAAGAGGGAGCCGAAACCATCTTTACTATGTATTATTGTATCATCTCATTTTTTTAGTCTGTTGAGCAAAAGACGAAGGGAAGCAGCCGCATCAATAGATTTGTTTCTTGCTGTATATACTCATGGAATTTTCTCCAGTGGTGTACCGTCTTCTATTGATCTATTGTCCTACGTTGTTGATGATGATAATGACTCCTAGCATGACCACGCCATTGACAAAGATCCCTTTGCAGAGTTCTAATGAGGAATCCCTCCCTTGCATGATTGAATATGATCTCTCCACCCGCGGAGTATATTAGTAGTAGCGGATGCTACTAATAATTCCAAGATTCGTGGGTTGGATGATAAAGACCAATAAATGGTGTAGCTTGAACCGCATCAGTATACGGAGTACATAAATCGCAGGTTTTCGATCCACCTATGGTGGAACATGAACTTCAGCCACTTCCATGGTTCCCGATTAGTGCAGTTATTTGCCCGAGCGTTATCCTCTCTTGTGCACCCGGTTGAGTTGCTGGCCTTGCGGGATGCATCAACCTTGAAACAGAATCATAGGTCCAGCCTTTTGCAGAAAGATCCTGTATCAATTGTGATGGTACGTCGTCACCAGTATCCTGCATAGCGTCCGAGTCTGGCTCAAGTCCTAGCTTTGATACGATGGTGGGTAGCCTAACAGTCTTATATGATAAACTGGTATCGTCGATGACCTTGTTCCGGTAGTGAACTAAAACAATACAGATTAGAAACCGCTCTCTCAAATTCCTCAGCAAGCTTTCTCCATCACACAAACCAGTATAGGACTGAACTAGAGGCTCAGTAAGCTTATGCCATGGGGCTGTTTTGAGAATCTCATAAACTGTCCCATGGTCCCTCGTCCCAACAGCTCGTACCAGTTTTTCGAGAGCTTTCATCAAGGTATCGTCCTCAAGTAGAGTAATAGGCAAACGGCGGAACATCATACGAGCTTCATGGCTGTTATAAAGAGCTGTTAACACTTTGATCAGTTACGAAATACGGGCGATTCTTACATATCATCGTCAAGAAGAAGACATATTAAATATGAAGAGTAATATGTGCTGAAAAACTCCATATCACTTGCTCCGCCATCCTGCGAATATTTCAAATTGATCTCTCCCTCAAGCTCTATCAGCGATTCAAGCGGGGAAGTCGAAGCAGATAATATCTCAGTCAACCGTTCCGGTACCGAGGGAGCTGACGACATCGTTACGGGATCGGAATCTAGCATGTAAAGGGAACCAAAAATTCAAGTGTCCGTTCAGTACCGAAGACGTAGTTGTAGCTTGCAGGCAAGTGATTCGATCATCAGTGATGTAGCTTCCAATATCATGAGGACGAGGGACGATAAGGATGGCCGTTAAAGCGGCATGAAGATCTCCAGTCGCTTGTGTCGCCGCTTTAAGCACCATCTAGTGTTCAATTGCCAGGTGATATAACCTATCAATATGTGTTAAGGGATTCGGACGAGCTTTTAAATCTAAGAGGATAAAAGGGAAAAGATTAGATTCCCCGAACTAAGGCCCAGTTCAAGGTTGTTAAGAATAACTAAAACAGGGCGTCTATCTTACAGCACCCTAGCAGCTCACCGATAGGCAAGATGCACCCAGCAACCACTGAGAACTGATCGTACAAACTGTTGGTGTAAGAATAAAACAAACAGAACCTCTCGTGGTATAGTACAATTTACCCAATCAAGACTTGACCGGCTCCTCAAACCGTAGGTGGAGGGCTAAGCAAACAGAAACGCGGGGGAAAAGAAAAGGAAAAAGAGGGAAAAAAGAGATAGAAACAAAACTAGGAAGATGTTATGCCAGTCGGGGCTGTCTGAATCGGAGTTCCGCTGTTTTGAGGATTAGGAGTGGTACCATTCTGAGGCACAGGCGTAGAATTGGCCGAATTGGGGTTCCGATGGGGATCCCGGCTTGGGACTTGTTTCGCTTGCTCCGGGAGAGCCTCCGGTTTCCATTTTAGGAGAATCTTCGTTGCAAGCGGACGAGTTTCTTCCACTGTTTGATTTAAGAGTCAGCTGGAAATCCTGCGTGTGGGGGGTTCATGCTGGGAAGTTAGCTTACTTGTTTGGTATAAGTCCACCAATGCATCTAGACAGAGTTGTCTAGCAGGAGGTCGGACAATGATGAGATAACTATTCTATGTTAGCAATTCCCGAATTAGGTGATGGACCGGTGCTGGCGGGTACTTACTGCAAAGCTTGAATACACAGGCTGACTCTCTCCGGATCGTTTGCTAGGGTCTTCACCTTTTGTATCAACGGAGAGTCCAGCTCGGGCAATTCACTCAAGAATCGTATGAGAACTTTATCCTTGGCATCAAGGTATGGAAGCATGCCCTCCAGCAGCTTCAGAGACCAGCGGCCATAATGAATTGGTACATAGGGATTCTTCGGGTCCCCCTCAATCTGTGAGCTGGCATTCTTCAGCTGTATCTGATCATTATACCACTCTTCATTCATCCAGGAGATGGCAAAGTTCATCCGAGCTCTGAAGTCTTCTAGGACATAGCGGTAAAGCATATTGCGAATGGTATTGGCAATGTTCTGTTTTCCGGGTTCTTTTTGATCATCGACGCTTTCCTCGCTCTCAAGGCCAGCTGGTGAGCGGGTAGCAAGTCTCGTAAGAAGGGTCAGCCACGATTCTCGATCAGAAGAACTGGCAGCTAGCCTCCCGAATCCAAGGGACTGTGAAGGGTTGTTGACAACAGCTTTTGAAGACTGTGGCAGAATAGAGATCATGGAAAATATCCTGCTGGCTGTCTCCTGGCCTAGATGTTCAACATCCTCAGGGGATAGAGGCGGTGGCCTCGGCAATACGAACGGACCTAGTGAGACAATATCTGGTAATCCCTCAGTCGAAGGTGCTTCAGGTTTAGCAATATCAGTAGGCGGGCCAGGAATATCCATTGGCTGATACTCTGGCTCGTAGTCATCGTCGTCTTCATCAGCTGCAGGAGGTGCGCTGGCGGCCTGGTTTTGTCTTTCAAATACTTGCTTCTTGCAGATGGTCTCATATCGAGAACGAACAGCCTGTAAATTCTTTAGTATATATACTCAAATCCAAAGGGGACCTGGTCAGGAACAGGGATAAACGTACCCCGATAGCCAAATCCAAGGATTCTCCTCCCACCCGAGTAAGTACTGGGATGATAATCTTCACCACCAAGTCTACCGGGAGCTGCTTCACGTCGAACGAAGCGAGACCGACATCCTCTGTAAGGGTAAACAGCTGTCCGAAACTTGTAGGGCCTGGCGGAAGTGGAGGAATTTTGTGCTGAGGTGGTGTTTCAAGGCCCAGCCTTGCTCGCTTTGCGCTATCTACTACATCAGTAGGTTCTGCGGGTAAAGCGCGTTTCCGTGATGCTTCATCGAATATCTCATTGTGTGATTGTGCCAGTCGCTCAATGTATTGTTGAATACGCCCGGCCAGTGGGTGGGTAGGAGCCCTAGATAGCAATTCACCGTTAGCCGAACCATGTCGGGAGGCTACTGGCGTGTGATCTACGCACTTTTTAACTATACTTAACAATAGCGCTCTTGTCGTCCTTTCCATAGACTTAATATTTACTTTCGTTGTTGGTGTGATTGGCGAATTTGCCTGTTTGAGCGGATTGAAGTTGAGGATGGCATTTATGATCTTGTTTGAGATAGAAGGCCGGGTTCGTATTAGGACTGGGATCGAATTGAGGGTTGCGTTGACCAAAATGGGATCGCTGTGTCTCATGGTTAAAAGCTGGGCCTTTAGCTCGATGTGGAGAGGCAACTGACCTTGAATTCTCGTGGAAAACATTAAGCAGTCTATCCAGAAGTCCTGATGTCTCTGCTTCAATGTTAGGTATAGCTAGGAGTGGATGATTTCTTGGGACGATTGCTAAGGAGGTTTCGTTCTTCTCCGGTCGCTGGATCTGGTTATTAGCTCTCCGAAAATGCCCCTCCTGCATTCTCTTGACATTACGGCCATCACATACCCTTGGATCGGCTATTGGTCCCTGTGTTTGTACTTGGACAACCTTCTGTGCAAACTTGATACAGCATATCTTAACACCATGAGAAGACGCGTCCCATTTCTTCAATATAGTATGTTTTATGGTTGTCATCGTTTGCCACAATGAAGCCTGGCTAGCATCGCTCACACTAATTATAGAGAAAATAAAAGGGATTAGTATTTTGGGTTCTTTCATTCAGATGATGCAATAACTCATGTAGAGCTGGTGGGATATGCAAGACAGTCATGACATACACTTGTCTAAAAATAAGAACATAGATGCTTGCAGCTGTCATGATAGCACCTCGGACAACAGTCTCATCATTCTCAGGTGTATTCAGCAAATCGTTAACCGCACCGAGGATTTCAGTAGCTAATTTCTGCTTCGGTTGCTGAGGGAAAGCCGGGCTTGAAAAAGTCTCGGTGAGAAACTCGGCCCCCCATCTTCGTAGCTCCAACCGCGCATTGACGCCAATTATAGGTAGTATGCCATGGACGATCTGAGGATAGAGGGCTGCATCGCCGAGAACGAGATTTCGAGCTGCGTCTAGCTGTGACATCTGCTCTACCAGACTATTCCCAGGCAGAGCCATGATGGGCAATAGCTACCCAGACCGCTGCCAGCAAAGAACGAGGGAAGACCAGCAACAGCTGCTAACTGCAGGCTAAGCACCTCAAAAACAGACTTGATAGTTGATTACGAGTGTCATTCAGCGGAATTGGGGGGAGGATGGTGGGTTAATGGGCTGTTTAGACGGGCACGAGAGGTACGAAACAGGGCGAGGAATCAAAACGACGGGAAGTAGAGTAGCTAGGAGGAAGCTGGATAGGTTGACAGCGGGAGTGACAGTGGCGCAGAGCTTCCTAGGAACGTGAAGACAGGGTCTGCGGTACTCGTTTGTCGAAAGAGGCCCTGTTTATCTCGCGATGCGTGGACTTGTCTAACTATCTCAGCGTCTCGTCCAGGCGTCGTTCCTTTTTCCCTTCCTACAACCTTCGAAGGTAGCCAGCTGTGCGCTCTGATTGGGCAATATGCCATTCCCATTCACAAATCGGTCACATGATTATATCTTAGTCAGTACTGAGTCACTGTTTGCTGAGTAATCTACTTACTAAGCAGCACATGACGCAACATCAAAATTTCAGACGAGGAAAAGAACAAGCGCCAAAAGGCATCTATCTGATCAGGTCGCATGCTGTAGGTATCTGACCGCGCCTCTGCTGTGCAGTCATTATACAGTTAGGAAGCCCAAGATGTCGCTGTAAGTCACCTATTCCGAGGAATTTTTGTGCTGTTCCTTCCGAAAAGACCCCAGCTAACCCGTATTGATAGCTTCAAATCCTCATATTATGACAAAGATTATCGGGCGGGCGCTGCCCTGATGCGCGCACGGCGGCCGTATATCGTTAGAAACATTGCTACAGGAGCAGCTCTCTTCAGTTTCTGCATTGGCGTTTGTACGCGACACCCACTTCTTCCAATGGCGGCTTCTCGGGGCTATAGCACACTGACGAGGGGACATTTGATATTAGACGCCTTCACCATCAACGCCGTTGGGCAGGATGATTTCTCCGATGTCAAGGTTCCAGACGCACCAGTTGCAAAACAAGCGGCTAAATAGTCTCTATGCGGAATGAGTGACATGCTAGACCAAATCGATCTTACCTATCTATCTCCTTTCACTCCCAACTAAAACACACACGCGCACTCGTCTGGGCCTAAAGGGAGGAGAACGCTGATGGCTCCAAAACTGGGCACGCACTTGTAGTGATTTGACGTTGAGGCGCGATGGCGTTGGTGGTTTTGTCTCCCCTAGGCGTGCAAAATGCATTGGTACTGTTGAGAGAATCTCTGAGTACTGATGCACTGCTTTTGAGAACAAGAAAGTTTCCATCTTTAAGTGTCAATCTACCTTGATACAGGACATGATGGACGTTTGGGATTCATTTAAGCGTTTCTTTATGTACTATAACTCCAATTACGCTTCTCCACTGTGAATTATATACTAATTTCATATTTTGTCGAATTGGCAAAACATTATATATCTTAAATCGCCTGCAAATTAACAATTCGAATACATCAGGTCAATAAAATACATCAGAAAAAGAGTGTAATAACCAGTTGAGCGAGGAAACTGCATGAAATTCAACTAGCGAAGAAAGCAGGCAGTGCTCAGTCCAGCAGTATCCGTTGATTGTTGGATTTTGTTTCGTTAATCCATCCTGTCTGCGTGTCTCGTACGATGTTTTGCTCCAGAATCTAGCTGGAAACAAGGGAGGAGGCTCTCCCTTATGTATTCGCCAAAAACCATGGAAAAATTCGTGCTAGCCAGAATAGTGGAACAGAGGCAGGTAATTAGAAAAAAAAATTTGAAGTGATATCAATCAAATCCTCATGGTAAACATAGACTATGTGTTGCGTATATATAGGGTGGCGAATATATTGGTAACATTTCGAATGAGAGGAGAAAATGTCAAGAAGTAGAAATGAAGACAATAAAGATAATCAATTACACCAGAGTCCATATCCAGATCCTGATCCAGATGCATGTTCACCAAGTTTATGATTCGTGTACTCCGTAGCCATGTAGCAAATAGTGGAAACAGGTAAAGCAGAAGCAAAGAAGAAGCTGTAAGAATGAATTGTCAAAGGAAAAGACGAAGATAGCGATAAAGGGCGAGTTAGGAAGAAGAAGATGCAAGGAAGATAAAGCACCGCCGATGGTAGATTGGTATATTGGGTAGTGTATGAGATATATGATTTAACGCCTCTCGCTCCGTTCCCAAAAAAAGGAAAAGTGGTATAACTATGGCAATGTAGGATAATGATAGGAGGGAAAAAAGGCAATTGGCAATCCGCTAGTACTTGCTATCGCCGAGTACGTATGCCCATTTTCTCAAGATCTTCATCCGTTTCCTGGGCTCTTGATGGTTTTAAAGACGGGGCAGCTGGGAAACCGACGTATTTTGCGAAGCCGGCAAGGACAGAGACTTCTCGGTTGTAGGCTGCCTGATGTGCGATTTGTTTGCTTAGGCGAGTCGGGAAGGGGATGGTATATTCTGTCACTGCGTCGGATGTGGCGTCTGCTAGTATGCCGCTGGCAGGCCCGGCCAGGCCTGGATAAGAACTTGAGCCGGCACCGGTGCCGGGACAACTTATACCGATGCCGCCGAATCTGTCGTGCTGGACTTTATATTGATGTTCTGACACAGCATCTAGAGCAGCTTCGCGGATCTCGCGCACGGTTTGGTAGTAAGAGGAATTGCACTGGGCTCGTTCAGCGCGGGACTTGACGCAGAGAGCTTGGAATTTATAGGCATGAAGAATCTTTTCGTGGTTGATTTTGGCATTGATATGAGACTGGACAATGGCGGCCTGGCGAAGGAATTCGGGGTGTGTTGGAGAGGGAGAAGAAAGCTGGGAGAGTTCTTCATTGATGTTCGAAATGCGTTCATCGTATATTCTATGAAGAAAAAATGGTGAGGAAAGAGGGTCACATGTAGTAGAATTCGCGGGAGGATGGTATTTACCTATCTCGTAATGTTGCAAAATGCCGTTCAAGATCAGACAAAAGGTCGAGTGCTGTGGTTTTCTTCGTCACTGTTGCTGACCAGTCAGCTTCGTTGCGCAAAGCCTCGCTATGCGGCAGTTCAAAGGCTCCGGAGAACTTACATTCTTCTAATTTCACTGCCGCTTCCGGACCATCTGCAGTATCTGCCAGTGCTTCGTCTACAGTTTGTTCTTCTGTAGCATCTGCACCATTGCTGTCTACCACAGATCCGGCCCGTGGTGTGGAGTCTCCATATGTTCCGATATTGCCTTTTTTACCCCGTCTTTTGTCTCTTTTCCCTTTCTTGCCTCTCTTGGCTGAAGAGGAGAGGTATGTTTCGTCGGATACAGGGCTAGGACTAGTAGGCTTGGAGGCATCGGCGTTATTCAGTTTTGATTTGTCTTCATCATCCTCTGCCTCAACTTCTGCTTCCACATCCGCTTCGGGTTCGGGTTCAGCCTCAGCTTCAGGCTCAGCATCGGCTTCAGCTTCAGCTTCAGCTTCAGCTTCAGCTTCAGCTTCACCTTCACCTTCATCCTCGTCTTCCTCTTCTAACAACTGAACAGCTGGAGGATATGCGGACTCGTCATCTGCAGAGGGTTCGACAGCGATGGACCCGCGGCGCTTACGGGCAGGCTCTTCCCTATCATCATCATCCTGTGGAAGAGCCGCCAGGTCATGCGTCGAGTTCATTCGCTTGCGCTTCTTGATAAGGCTCAGTGTTTCCTGTGACTCTGATAGCTTAGTTGACTTAAAATCACTCTCTTTCTCGCTGTGGGCGTTGCCATTGCCCGTTCCGTTTGTCTTGGCTGAGCGTGGCGGCTTGCTAGGAGATGCTTCAGTGTCTTCAGCCTCGTCATCCTCGTCCTCATTCTCCTCGTCAAGCTGGTCATAGGTAGTTGACTGTGCTAGCTTGCTTGGACTTGCGAAGACGCCACCGACACCGCTCAGGACGATGCTCGCCTTGTCACGGTCACGGTTATGGTGTGGCGAGTCCTCTATGCGCTCAGTTTCAGCCTCGGAGTCGATTTCCGACGCAAACTTGGACGGACGAGGAGAGAGGTCATCTAGCTGGCCATGGGAGAGGGTTTCGTCGATGTCCGAGAGACTGCTAGAGCGAGAGTCTGAGTCGATGGCGTCTGCGAGGGAGGCAGGCATTGACCCAGCTTGGAATCGCAGGTCAATGGAAGTATTATTCGCCAGCATAGTAGGCAGTTTGACTGCTATCTAGACGATGGTAGACGTGGTTGGTTGGTGGGTAGGATCGATTCTGTTGGAAGAAGGGTAAAAAGCCCTTGCTCCCTGCAAGTCGGGTGCTATCCGCATAAGAAGTCAACCGATGATCAATAGCTTAAGAACAAAACTGAGCTCAAAGACAGGGAGCTACAAGGTCACTGAATCGTGACAAGCGAGCGTTTAATAGAGATAGTAACCTCATGCAGGTGCTGGCAGCGCTTCGGCTATTTGGTCACGGGCAAATTCTGCCATCCAGCTTGCCCCAGGCAGGTCGATCGCAAACCTGACGAGCAGGCCAGAGAGCATCGACAGCGAGGTATCTCTTTTGCAAGCAGCCCATAGACCTATCTCTCCCTCTGTTCTATACTCCTTGATAATATCAAACGTACCTTTTGGGCTCGGTGCAAGCACAGGTAAGGATGAATTATTTTTTCCCTTTCTGCTCTGCGGGTTCCGCACGAGGGCGTCAGAGGCGGATCGCAAGCCGGCGAGATGTATCCCCAGCGTGCGAGCTATCTCATAAGCCCTGTTATTTCACTAGCTGCAGGTCTGATCGAGCATAGCAAGGCCGGAATCTCATGCATTCGACAGGGCAGCAGCCAGGCGCTATGAGGGGGTCTCTGTGAGCTGGCTCGGTGCGTTGGTGAGGTGTGAAGCTGCAAGCTGACAGATGCTTTGCAGGACAGCAAGGGAGACTGTACGCTTGGTAGACGGTTATATAGGCGGTGCAAACGGCGTGCGGGATAGCGATGAGCAGTGAAGATGAAGCAGCAGAAGCAGCAGAAGAAGCAGTGCAAAGCCGAAGACGAAGAAGACGCAGAAGTTGATGCTCTCGTTTTGGGGGAGCCCTGGTGGTTGTACCAGCGTGACGCGGTGACGTGACGTGACGGCATCATGACTGATAGATTACTGCTTTGCGTGGTGGCATGTGCGTATTTTGGTATTGACATTGAAAGATACAGCGGTATCGGTGTATGTGCGGTTCGACATTACCATACAAGGCGGTGGGCGTTCTGCCGTGTCGATCTGCCACCACGAGCCAATCATAGTACAAGGAGAGCTTCACCGCCCTGCTGAGTCATTCAGCTTATCTATTTTATTATATAAGCAAAGCGTGTCAAAGACGTCACTCTCTGCCCCTTTGGGTTGCCTAGTATGCATATTCTATGCAGGGCTGCTTCTTCCCTTACGTACCTGATTTTCAAGGGAGACTTGCTTCAACAATGTGATATAAGTGGACTTTTAGTTATTCAACCTAGTCCTAGGTAGTGGGCATGTTTAGGAATTACGCGCCCTCGAACTGAGGTATGCTGGAAGTAGACAGTGATTTGAAGCATGACTTGACGGTATAATCCCACTAAATATCTATATATTGGATGGAAGGGTATTAGACAGTGCTAAAGAGAGTATGAGAGTGGTTTAGTGACCAACCAAGACGTGCAAGTTGTTTGGAATGAGCTGTTGTCTATTATCTGGACGACCTACAGTATATGCAAAATTGGTTGAGTTGATTAAATCGGCCAGCAATTTGGTAGAAAGGTATGCGCAAGGAGGATACTACCCACGGTCTAAGGCATATTCTCCGTCAAATAAGCAGATTAGATGTGCACTGGTTAGCTCTATGCTTTGAGAAATCTCAGTCGAGCGGGTAAGTTGCGAGTTATTCCTTTGTTCTTCGCTGCATCATAGAGCGGCTGCATCGACTCAATGATCAATATAGATGTATATAAAGTCATATGTTCGACTCCTAGCGAGTCTCAGGAGGTAGGTCCAATCAGTATTAGATTTCCTACCCTTCTCCAAGTCGCGCATAATGTTATTCAACAAGAATCGTTTATACGTTGCTCTCTATGCACGTGGTGGCCGCCCTACAATGCCAGGCAAGGAAGACACGTAAGTTGAACCATCCAGTCAACATATAACAATAAAATCTGACACCATGTCTGGGCTAGGTATCACTGGGCTTTCCTTGTTGGACCAAAAGTTGAAGTAAAGAGCAGTAAGGGTACCCGTTACCAGGTGAAGCAGAGGCTCCAAATAGTAGGAGACTCGGAATGGGACTTCGAAGAGCGCGAATGTCCACTCACCCCAACAAACATGCTACTTGTTCGTGTCGTTGTTGGAAAGATAATTGATGGAAACCGCTTGGCCGAAATCCTGCGTAATACACCTGTCCGAGAAGATCAGCCGGGATGGAATTGTGTCGCCTGGGTAAAGGAAGCTCTCGAGTCGCTAGCGAATGATTCGAAGGCCCTCGGGACAAGTGTCACTGAATGGGATAAAGTACGCAACGCGGCAATGGAGTATTGTCAACAAAAGAAGGACCAGCACCGCTTTAATGCTTGGAGCAACTTTGATATGGGCAAAACCCCAACCTACGACATGTTGGAGTTGAAGGAGACCATCATATGAGTTATCGCAGCTGGCTTGAATTATTCAAGTATCCCCAAAGTATTTTTGACACATCCGTTCCATCTCCAGCTCTTGAGGCATTGGCCCTAGGAACTTGTCAATCTCCTTTCCCCAAAAATAGTTTCGAGGGTTGACTTGGTGGGCCGTTGTGTACTCCCAGTATGATGGATACCAGCCAGCTGTCTGCCAATCAATTATGCTAGCAATGTCATCTCCATGAATAAGAATGTTTAGACTACTGAGATCTCCATGTGTGAAGACTAAAGGCCAAGTCTTGTTTTGCTGGTTGATAAGCTCCTTGACGTCAGGGTCAAGCCTAGGGTCAAACTCCAAGCCCATTCGTAGATGCCGATGAAATTCCTGGATAGTATCAAACGGGCCAAAGTGTAAGGTAGTCCCAGCTACACGACAGTCGTAGAGTGGTCCGCTATCAATAGAAGAAATCGTAGCACCATCCGGAGGTTTCAGCTGCCGCAGTTCAGCAATCATTTTTGCCAACTGCGAAAGAAGCTTGACCTTTGACTTCTCACTTCGGCGAACCCAGCCACGACCGATCATGTCACCCTTAATTCTTTCCATCACAATATACGTCGTTCCAGAATGAGTAAAAGCACAGAACACTTTTGGTACTGGTATAGACGTATGTTGCGATATGAAGCGCATTGTCGCTGCTTCAGACAAAACGTATGTACTGCCCATACTTCACACATAACTCGTCTGTCAACATGAGAACACCCCCGTCGTATGGCCGAACATGTTTGAGGATTTTAATCGCCAACAGTGTCAGGTATCGGTACCATATTTTGTCATAAATAGGCTTGGATGCACCTTCTTGGGAATGGGTATCTTGTAATGGGCCAGGGCCACTCTAATCGGGCGGCATGATGGAAAATCTATGCCTGGAGGAAATACTGAAAGGCGGAGAACATTTGTATTACGGAGGTTAGTATCCGTAAAAGAATGCTGCGATAGAAAGGCATGTAAGAATGATCCGGGTTATGCTCAGGAGTTGACATGCTGATGAATAAATCAGTTTATTATTGGTTGTTTAGCGACCCGGACGCAGCGTAGAATCACGTGACTGTAAAAGCGCGCGTAATATCATGTGACTTTGCCAAGCGCGGAATTTTATCTCGAAAAGATAAAAAAACAGAAAGTGATAGGCGAGATCGAAGAGAGTCAAGTCTTACGCCAATTGAGCTTGAATAAAGCTCGAAACTACCTAAATCATGGGTAACAAGGCGAAGACTCAAACGGCAGAGGGCGCGCTGGCAGTCGCTACACAAGTTCCTACGGCTAGCACAGCTACGGGAGGATTTCCGCTAGCAGCTACAAAGGTTGATCCCGGTCTTGCGGCGCTGTTTGCGCAGAGTGTAAGTGGATTGGTATACCTATTTAGAAGGCATATACTGACGGTTGACTAGGCTGGACCTGTAAAAGAGCCGGAACTGAAATCAGTATCTAGGCGGGAAGAAAATGAAGCAGACAACGAAGATGAAGATGAAGATGAAGATATAGAAGAAGACGAGGAAGACGAAGATGATGAAGACGAGGAGGAAGATGACGATGTTGAGATGGAAGATATGGAGGAGAAGGCTTCACGGAAACGCAAGAGAGGAGCAGATAACGATGACCTCGAAGCCGCCTATTTAGACCGCTTGTCCAGGGAAGAAGAACGAGAACGCAAGAAGCAAGCCGAAAAGACCAAGAGAGTCAAAACTGCAGACGAGGCAGAGGGAGATGAAGAGGAAGCTGACGAGGAAGAAGACAAAATACCCATGCACGAGTCCCTTATGAAGAGCGATCAAGCAGATCCGATGGACAAGGCCTCACGCACGCTCTTCCTCTCCAACGTCTCTACCGAAGCTATAAAGTCGAAATCCGCCAAAAAGACCCTTCTCAAGCATCTTTCTTCCCTTCTTCCAAAGCCATCATCTTCATCTACAACAACACTGTCTACAACGCACAAGATAGAATCTCTTCGGTTCCGCTCAACGGCCTTTAGTTCTACTGCACTACCACGTCGAGCAGCCTATGCCAAAAAGGAGCTTATGGACTCTACTACAAAAGGCACAAACGCCTACGTGGTGTACTCTACTGCCCTGGCAGCTAAGAAAGCACTCAAGCTTAACGGTACGATGGTGCTAGATCGACATATACGGGTTGACAGTGTCTCGAAACCTGCTCCGGTTGATCATACACGCTGCGTGTTCGTGGGGAACCTAGGCTTTGTCGACGAGGAGACTCAACCGGCTGAGCAAGACGGGGAAGTCAAGAAGAAGAAAAAGGCGGCAGCGGCAGCGGATGTCGAGGAAGGGCTATGGCGCACTTTCAACGACCATTGCGGTGGTGAGGGCGTGGTTGAAAGTGTGCGTGTTGTGCGTGACAGACTGACTCGCGTCGGCAAGGGGTTCGCATATGTGCAGTTCAAAGACGAGAATTGCGTTGAAGCCGCGCTGCTGTGTGATGGGAAGAAGTTCCCTCCAATGCTACCTAGGAAGCTGAGGGTCACGCGAGCCAAGAGAATTGGGGCTGGGTCAGAGGGAGTTAGGGAGGGAGCTAGTCGGCAACGCCAGAAGGGAGGGAAAGCTAGAAAAGACGAGAAGCTGTTTGGACAGGCTGTTGCTGCTGAACTGAGGAATGTGGAGAGGGAGAAGAAGAAGAAGATCGGACGGAGGGATGGTTCAAGTGGTCGAATTGGACCGGGTAATGATGCCAATGCCGTACCATTGGGAGATAGGAGCGGCAGTGGAAATGCAGGTACGACGATGGTGTTCGAAGGATACAGGGCGAAAGATGGGGCCAAACCGGCATTTAGGATGAAGGGAAAGAAAAAGGGTGGCAAGCCGAAGACAAGAAGCTCGCGGCGGGCCAGCGCGTACAAGGCGAGAAAATGATACCGACTACTAAACATAGAAGATAGTAAATAAAAGAAAACGGATCAAGCGTTATTAACAATTATTATTTATTTTTTTGTTTTGAGCGTGGCTTCTGCGATGAGACGTGACGCAGTGTAAGGATACACATGCATGCAACACTAACCTAACATTAAAAAGTGGTAGAATAAGACATACAGGCTATGCATGATGCATGACAGAATGATGAGCGGGGGGGCATTTTAACCATCAATATCCTGGGACGCAGGTTCATAAAAGGAGTGAAAGAAAAGGGGAGGAATATCCAACATCAAACAGTCGGGTCGAGGTTCAGAGGGCCGTAGCAGGGAATATCCAAGCCTATTCCAAAAAGGTAGATAATTGTGGTAGTACAGGGGCCAAGTCGCGTGAGAAACAAGAAAGTGAGAAATTACTGATTAAACAATAATAACGGTTGGTGGTAATGCAATGCAATGCCATCGGAGAAGGGGGGGCTTATGTAAAAATAGGGGTGTTTTCTCGGCTTTTGGACTGATCATAGCAGAGCCATGAGAGAGAGGACGATGGAGAGGAGGCCACCGGGCAGAGCAAGGGAGACTGCGCCGTTCGGGTCAGGGGCTCCGCTGCTGGTTGGCATGCCGGTCGAGGATCTAGTGGAGGACCCGGTAGTTGACTCGGAAGTAGAGGTCGAGTCTGTTGTGGTGGCGGTGCTGGAGCTAGTGGTGACGGTCGACATGGTAGTGTCAGACGATGAAGAGTCGGAAGTGGTAGGTGAGACAGTGGAGGAGTGAGTTGATGATGGAGAAGTAGTTGACTCGTCGGAGGTGGTGGTCGCCTCGGAGGTAGTCATGGAAGCACGGGTGGTGGTTGGTCCAGTGGTTGGGCTACCGGTGGCTCCGTCGACCATGAAGGAAGGGGTGAAGTTATATTTGCTTGGGTCATTATCGTCGAGGATCTGGATGGTATATGACCCGCCCTTGATCAAGTCGGGCGGGGGCAAGAACGTGTAGATGCCGGTGTTTTCCATGTGTGCTAAAGTCCTTTAGTATCATTATTATGTAGCACAGAAGAGAGAATTACTCACCAACTAGGACTCGGCCCCTTTCGGGAGTGATATCTGAGCTCACTTGGAGTTTGAGGGTAACAGTTCCAGATGTGGTTGGATGCCAGTTGAGGACTGTTGGCGCACGAGTGTTGAACTTGTAGCCGCCTGCAGGCACCAAGAAAGGGTTCTCCATGAAGCCAGCAGCCGCAACGGCCGCGAAAAGGAGGTAAAGCACTGAGCGCATATTGCTGCTGGTGGGTGTGTAAATCAGCTGTCAAGAAATAACTGTATAATAACTGGTGATAGCTATAGTAGCTGTTGTAGTAGTTGCAGTAACTAATAATTGATAGAGACAGTGAGGAGGATGCGAGCAGCGGCGGTTGATATCCCAAAGAGGCTGTCAATAGGGTGAGAAGAAGAAAGAGAAGGAGGAGAGCAAAAAGAGAAGGCTCAGAGGAGTCTATATTTAACTAGGCAGGCGCGGCGAACCATTGAGGAATCCAACCAAGGCAGATAGACTTTTCTCCGGTGGTCCCCTGGCCCTTGCCTAGCGTGGTCTGTCTTGGCGTGGAGGGCAAAGTTAGATGAGTGGAGACCAGACTTTGTCCGTTTTGGGCGCGCTTTTCTGTGGCTGCGCGCGCTGATTGGCCGCTGCAGGGCCCAAAGGAGGGTAAGGGGAGCTCTGCGCGCGCCAAGCCCACATGGCTAGGCTCGCAGACTAGGCGGCTTTGGGAGCTTGCTGTCCTGTTTGGGTCTAGCGCACCGCAAGACGTTGGCCCGAGGCTAGTTCTCTTGGGGAGAACTGTGCAGGGCAGTGCATGCTCACGTGAGGCGAAAAATTCGACCAGAAGACGACAGGAGAATAAGGGGGTATATAGAGGGGCAGTTATACGGAGTAGGAGGAGAGACAAAGGGCGAGGGTGGGCGAAGGCAGGAGGCCGCGATGGTGCGAGCGAAGGGGACTGGAGGATCACCCTGTCGTGTGGTTACATCCACAGGGAAAATGGTTCTCACTAGTCTGCATATACTACCAGCATTCTAGCACTATATGTCGTACGCTGGCTGGCCCCTGACAGACAGGCAGCGCGCCCATCGAACGCCCAGCGGCAGGATGCGCAATAGTAATGCTAGCTCGCATCGAGATTGAGCTCTCTGAAAATCTGAAAATTAAAAAAGCAAGAGGCGAGCATCGCCGTCAGGTCGCGGTCGGCGGATCGTCGAGCAGATGTCGCTCGCCCAGAAAGACAATGGCCTGCATGACCCGTCGGTCCTCGTCCTCCCGTTGGCCAGCGAGCAGCTAATTAGACATGACCCCGTTAGCTCGGAGATTGCTCAATGCATATCTTCATTAATAGCAGAGGCGGCCTAAGGACGTCGAGCGGGTGGGGAAAGAAAACAATGCATGCTCAGAAACAAGAAGGAAAAAGCAATGGGAAGGTATAATAGTTGACAGATATCATGCTTACCCGTTCGTACAGGCTCTTTCGCCCAGCCCGTGGCTTATCCCCCTTGCGCTGCTGCTGCTGCTGCTGCTCTCGCGGTCTATCCTTTTCCTTTGGCTGTCCCTGGTTCTTCTTCTCGTGTAGAAAGGTGCAGGAGCTGCCGTGCCGACATTGGCCCGTCCGAGCGAACTGGTGGCAGCGTCTGCGCGGAGGAACTCTGTCCGGCCCCTGGCGGCGAGAGCTCGTCTGCTCCGGCTCGCTGCCGCTGTCACTTTCGCTGTCACTATTACTGCCGCTCTCGCTTTCACTTTCGCTTTCACCTTCGCTGCTGGTCGTGCTATCACTCCCGCTGTCGTCGTCAGCGCCCGAAGCTTGGTTGCCCAGGTCCGGGGTTAGCGTCTTCGTAGCGCCGGCTGCGACTGGCGTGTGATCTTGTGGTGCGATTGCCGTTGCCGTTGGTAGGCTAGGTGTCGTCGTAGTCGATGCCACTGCTTCATCTCCGCCTAGCTTGACCCGAGCTTGACCTCCCGCCTCCGGTTGACCTGCTGCGGCGGCTGTTCCGGCTCTGGCACTGGCTTCGGCTTCAGCTTCGGCGGCCGCTTGCTGTTTGGCGGCAGCTGCTTCGGCCTGCGCAAGCTTTCGCTCTTGTCTCGCCAGCTTCTCGCGCAGCTTGTCCGCTCGCATCTTCGCTCGGGCAGCCACGTCGCTAGCATCACCCTTTTTCTGCTGTTGCTGCTGCTGCTGCTGCTTCTCCTTCCCTTTGGCCTTCTTTGCTTCTGCTGCTTCAGCCTCTCTCTTCTTCCTCTCTTCCTCTCGTTTCTTCTTCGCTTCTTCTCTCTGCTTCCTCATCTCTTCGTCCTTCTGCCTCTTTGCTGCCTTGCGAGCTTCTTCCTCTTTCTTCCGTTCTTCGATCCTTGCCTGCGTAGGGAATCGCCGTTTTCTCTCCTCAATCCACGCCTGTACTTCTGCTGTAGAGCCTAGCGTAGACGTTCGTCCCCGGTAGCTGAACTTCAGCTCTCCCTTGGCCAGCAACCCCGCAAACTTAGCTTCTTCGTCCACATCTTCAGCCTCAGACTCGCTCGACTCATGCTCTTCCGTCTTGGGCGTCAGGCCTAGCTGGTTGTGTTTGCGCTGCTTGCGGGGTCGCGCGGGGTTCGCTTGACCTTTCGTCTGAGCTTGGACTGGTGGTGGTTTGGAAGGGAGCGTGTTGAAACTCGGCACCGGTAGTGGTGCGGTGGTGAAGGCTGTATCGTGTTGCCGTTTAGGTGGTCGATGTGTCAGTGCCTGTGTATGCGTATGCTTCTGATGTGGCCGTTGATACGCCGGAGCAGTGTAGGTTTGCTTTGGGTTAAAGGTCCAGGCCCTGGAGTCTGCATATGGTGCTGCTGGAGGTAGATATCCTCCCTGCGGTGGACCAAAATGCATCGTTTGCGGAGGAGGTGCCGGTGCCGGAGCCGGTGCTGGTGTGTGTGGCCCCCCATAGCCTGGCAGTCGTCCATATGCATATGCTTCCTGGTTAGGATGCATTGGTAGGTGCTGCGGCTGGTGTTGATGTGGTGGTGCGTATCCCCATGAAGCGTTCATATCACTGCCATATCCACCACCTCGGCCGCCCCGTCGTGGTCCCATTGCCTCTGCCACGCCCTCGATGGTGAGAGCTCCCTCGTCCGCCTCCGCCTCCGCCTCTCGACGAGCTGTTATACGTCGGCTGTGAGGGCTGTGTGGGCGGCGGAGGCGGCGGAGGAGGAGGAAACGAGAAGCCCGACATTAGTGCTTCGCTATCCCCTTGTATCTCGCTCGTCTAGTCGCAGTAACGTCCTCGTAGGCTTTATTATCTGGTATATACGTCGACACGCAGTAATAGCCCTGTTCAAACGTCAGTCCATGTCCATCAAACGGCTGCTATAGCTAGACTCCAAGCTATCTCAGAGCTATCTGAAGCTTCACTTCACACGACCGACTCACCTTCACGCCCACGCCAACAACCTATCTACCGCGGAGTCAACGGGTATATCCGTCTTCTCAGCCCTCGAAGTCACTGTCTCTCGCCTCTTCCGCCAGTTTCTGCAGCTCTTCTATCCAAAACACCGTCAATGATGTCTCATCTTGCGAAGGTCTCGAAGGGCCGCCGGGAAAAAAATACAGGAAAAATATTCTTCCGTATTGAGGCTCTTCAGATCCGAAATTCGATCAAAAAGAGATAATTTATTCAATTATTCGATTTACTTTTCATTCAATTGCTTTAGTCTTGCCTGCATAGTCTTGGATATGCTGCTGTCTGTCGTTGGTTGACGTTGGTCAGTTATCTTTTTTTTTTTTTTTTGGCCTTGGAGGGGTTTTTCCTGCTGGCGAAGAATCGACCTCAACATCCACAAGCAACAACAGCAGAGAAGCAGCCATTTGATACCACAGTTATACCCTACACAGAGCTGCTATCATGTTCATCCTCGTGAGTGATGCTGTCCTGCTGCTTTTCCTGCTGTTTGATGTCTGCTTCATGCTTACAGATGTAGACGACCATCTCAGACCTGGTGCAGATCTCGCCAGAGGACTTCTCGAAGCTCAGCGCAGTCGCTATCGAAGACAACATCAACGAGAAATACGCCAACAAGGTGAGTCGTGCTAGCTCGGTAAATGGTAGATGCGAATGGCAGGCTAATGGAAGTCCAGGTCATTCAGAATGTCGGCCTCTGCATCGCCTTCTACGACCTCCTGGAGTCCTCGGACGGGCTGATCGGTCATGGAACAGGCCTGGTCAACGTCAACGGTGAGACGCAGATGCAGACATGGACGTTGTTATATATCAATTAAAGTATCAAATGCTGACTGATAGTAGTTAAATTCCGGATGATCGTGTTTCGGCCGTTTAAGGGAGAAGTCATCATCGGGAAGATCACGAATGGGACAGAGCAAGGGATTAAAAGTACGGGAACAGCCCATTTTGATATCGATATTGATATTGACGTTGAGGATGCTAACGACGAGCAGTTGGAGTTGAGTTCTTCAACGACATCATCGTCCCTCCGGACTTGCTGCTGGACGGTGCTAGATTGTATGTCTTCCTACAGTTGTTATACGATTGCCCCATGCTAACCGTCGACAGTGACATGAAAGACCAGGTCTGGATATGGGACAACGGCGAGGGAGGCATCTTCTACTTCGACGTTGGCGAGACTGTCCGCTTCCGGGTCGAACAAGAGGAATGGCACGACCAGGTCCCCAGCGGCCCCGATCTGCAGGACGGGCTCGCAACGCCGGACCGAAAGCCTCCCTACTCGATCATCGTATGTCAACCTTCTACACCGAGTACATCTGTTCTGTCCTACAATCAATACTAACAGCCCCAGGGCTCAATGCAGGTTGCTGGTCTCGGTCTGGTAGCCTGGTGGTCGTGATCTGGTCCATTTCAACGACGCCCTTCAGCTTGATCCCGTTCAGCTAGTCAAGAGAGCATGGAAACATGCGGGTGTCAGCTTCCCCTCGCCCGGCCTGCGTCTCCCCAGCATCGACGGACATCTCATACATGGATCCGACAGTCACCGTCTCGGCTCGGTTTTGAAGAGCATGGATTGGCCTGCATCGCCGTCCACCTCGCACTCCTCAAGCCGAGTTTGTGCGCATCAAAGATCCGTTCGAGCAGCCTATCGGAAGACTCGACATCCCACGCATCAACTATCTTCCCCCCTCCACCTTCAACAAGCGGCCTGCCAAGTGTGCGCTAATCCTGCCGTGAATGCGCCTTTGCTGGCTCTCCCTTTGCTGCCTGCCCCGCGGTGGCTTCGATGACGATAGAGGGTGACCAGCTTAGAAATCCGCCCTGAGCGGCTGTTGATGTCGGAATCTTAGCTCTCTTTGACGATATCTCGGTCGCCTTTACGGACTTTTCTAGCAGCACTATTATTAATGGGGGATGGAAACAGAGAGTCTGCGGCGGAACCGACCCTGCAGGCTGTAACTCGATGGACCAGCCAGAAATACGGCCGGAGAAATAGACATTTACCCAGGGTTGACAACTGAGACGGCCCTGGTGGATATCAAAAGCAAAGTGTTTTGCATCCGTGGTTCGGGTTTTTACTCTCTCTGAATTTTCCTTGTATACTTATATAAACCGTCGGCTATCCCATCGCAAGTACCAGACCAGACTCTCCTACTTTTCGTCACATAACTATCCCCATATCAATATCATTGCCAGCGTCGTAGAAGAGAGCAGAAGAATGGCCACCACCGTCACCCCCGCGAGCGTGCTGCCCGCCCAGCAGGAGCAGAAAGCGACCATCGAGACGCCCCCCAGAGCGCCGTCGCCCGTCCATCGCTTTGGCACCCGAGCCGTCCACACCGGCGCGCCCATCGAGCCGACCACCGGCGCCGTCATTGCTCCCGTACGTCCTCCTGATGCTCTATCGTCTTTGCCGGTGCGGGTTGCTGACCGTCCAGATAGATCTCCCTGTCGACCACCTTCATACAGCACAGCCTGGGCAAGCCCATCGGCGACTACGAGTACACCCGCAGCTCCAACCCCAACAGGTCCGTTGACGCTGCAGATGCATCCCATTGAGCCCTCCAGCGCTGCCTGAGAGACTCCCGAGCTGACAATGCGCCGCAGAGACAACTTCGAAGCCGCCGTCGCGGGCCTCGAGAACGCCCGCTATGCGCTCGCCTTCTCCTCCGGCTCTGCCACCACCGCCAACATCCTCCAGTCGCTCGCCGGCGGCTCCCACGTCGTCTCCATCTCGGACGTCTACGGCGGCACCCACAGATACTTCACCAAGGTCGCGGCCGCCCACGGCGTCGAGGTCACCTTCACGCCCACCATCGAGACCGACGTGGCCAAGCTGATCCGCCCCAACGAGACCCGCCTCATCTGGATCGAGTCCCCGTCCAACCCGACCCTGGGCCTCGTTGATATCCGCGCCGTTGCAACCATTGCTCACCAGCACGGCATCCAGGTTGTGGTGGACAATACCTTCTTGAGCCCCTACATACAGAACCCTCTTGACCATGGAGCGGACATCGTCATCCACTCCGTCACCAAGTACATCAACGGCCACTCGGTATGCCCCTCAAACACACACACACACTCCGGAAAGGAGTAATAAAACCATTACAGAGAGGAAAAGAAACATCATGCTGATTGCGTATACTCTAGGACGTCCTTATGGGTGTTGCCGCGTTCAACTCCGACGAGATCAAGACCAGACTGACCTTCCTCCAAAACGCCATTGGTGCCGTCCCCTCGGCCTTTGACTGCTGGCTGGCCCACCGCGGTCTCAAGACCCTCCATCTCCGTGCCAGAGAGGCCACCGCAAACGCAACCCTGATTGCCCGTGCCCTCGAGGCCTCCCCTCACGTCCAGGCCGTGAACTACCCCGGCATCGACTCCCACCCACACCGCAAGATTGCCATCAAGCAGCACCGCAACGGCATGGGCGGTGGCATGCTCAGCTTCCGCATCAAGGGTGGCCGTGAAGCCGCCGAACGCTTCTGCCAGTCCACCCAGCTCTTCGTCCTAGCCGAGTCTCTCGGCGGCGTCGAGTCTCTCGTCGAAGTCCCCGGCTCCATGACCCACGCTGGCATCCCCAAGGAACAGCGTGAGATCGCCGGTGTCTACGACGACCTGATCCGTCTCAGCTGCGGAATCGAAGACGGCGAGGACCTCAAGGCCGATGTCCTCCAGGCCCTCGAGAAGGCCCTCGTTGCTCCCAAAATTAACAATGGAAACGGCACCAACGGCGCTTAATCGGTCAAAAGTCAACTAACTCTCTCTCTCTCCCTTCACGACACTTTCTGGCATACCTTTTTGCTCCTCTTTTGCTCCTTATTATTGCTCCGTTTTTCTTGGTTGTTTACGAGACCTACGCTATATACGGCTATCCATTATACATACACACCGGCTGGGATACGGTTCATCTCCACCGTTTAGAGGAGGATATTATATACCATGCATGCGCGCACTTCCTTCATTCACATTCTTCCAAAGCATGATGCTCTTTTCTTATCCATACCCCCCCATCCACCCTTCTGGTGAAATAGAAGAAAGAACAGAAGAAAGCAATAGAACATAACGTGATGCTCGAGGGCTGTTTCGTCCTCGTTTTTCTTCCTACTTTTTGCATACACACTCTCTCTCGCCGATGTTGCGTTGGATTGTCGGATCCTGCGCTGTTCCTCGTAGTCCCGAAGTACGGCAGTGTAGCTAGGTGCTTGTTCTCGATGAAGATGCATGATTGTAGTACATGAGGTAATGGTATGCAGCGTATTCTGGAGAACCCATTGATTTCGGGGTTTCCGGCTCCATGACTCCGGCTATGGCCAGCCTCACATCGTAGCTCATTTCTCAATTAAAGGACTGAGCTAACATATTCTTATCCATGGCGGCCTGGGCCTTGTGAGACGCTGGGTTGTAAGCAGTTTCTGGACAGGTCGATTTCCAGTATTGCGGATCTCGGCGCTTCGCCCCTGACATCTTATAGCGGTTACCCGGCCCAAATATATAGAACTTGGAGAATAGAAAGGAAGGTTGTATATTCAATGGTAAAGCTAACTATGTACAAGCATTAAGCCATGACCTCTGGGAGGCCTCGAAGCATTTCTTACACTACTGGCACTCCTTGGGAACGGCCTTGCTACCAGTTCGGTTCTTGGGATCGTATTTGGCACCAACGCCCAATCCACGCTTAGCAAAGGCCTTCCAGAGCTCACACTTGTTAGAGCCCTTGGTGAGGTTCATATCGGCATCGATAATGGCGTCGCGAGCCTGTACGAAAGTTGGTTTGCATGGTTGACTATCATTGGACATAAGTTAGTTTTGGCCCCATAGACCAGCGCAGAGAATGCAGGAAGGGGATCAACGTACATTGCCATTCCATCGAGCACGAGCTTCATGGCAAGGTATTTGCCATCATTGGGGACGCCGTTCTCAAACACGGGCGTGGGTCCGTCATTCTTGCCGTGCTTATCGATCAAGTTCCATAACACCTCGTAGAGAATAGAGCACCATACGGTTCCGATGGCATGCACTTCATTGTACTTATTACAGGATGTGTAGACCAATGGGTTGGTCTGAAGGTTAGTGGAATAAGGGTACAGTCTGTTACCCTTGGGGCTGTTATTGACCCATTCGCCGTGGACATAGTTTGCATTACGGTTGTCGTTTGGCTTGAGGCGGATGGCCGTTGCGAAGAAATCACCCCATCCTTCGCCCATGCCGCCAGACTCCATGCCATTGAGGCAGCCAGAATTGGCAGGGCCTCCGCAGAGACGGTTGGAAACTAAATAAGATAGGAATTAGTTTGATTCAATAAATGAGGTGAAGGATGCATCGAAGCTGGGCGAGCTATTTGACATAGGTGTCGGCTACAGCGTGAATAACGGTGCCGGCTTCGAAAGAGGAGTCGCGAGCTGGCTTGGCCTTGGTCCAGATATACACTCTCATACGCCCAGGCTTGCCATCGGGAGGGGTAGCAAAATTGGCATTGTTAGTGCCAGAGCCATCCTGAGCATTGAGAATGACAAAATCATTGCCTTTACCACCCTGGCCATGGTTGTTAACTTGGAAGTTGCCAGCTTTCTCCGTAAATCCGAGCATATAGTACAGATCGTGTACTATATTGGCAGAGTAGAATAGCTGTGTAACTGATGCATCGATATATGACTTTGGTGGGCTCATATTAGGCGCATAAGGGTACTCAAATTTGAGATTCTTGCTATTCGGCCGGTAGTTGTTGAGGTAATCCTCTCCACCATCGAAGTTGGCTTGTGCAATAGCGTTGTTGCCCCTAGTTGTGGTGTAGTTGGTCTTCCCATCGCTAATCCATGTGAACGGCGAGGTTTTGAGGTTCCAGGGGTTCTCAACGATCTCCCGCTTGCCTTCGGTGGGATCAGGGATAGGCCATCGGCTATTAGAGTGTATACAGGTTAGCTTCTATGTTTTTGCATTGGAGGGTTGGGACGTCACAATCCAGACCACTAGCGGTTGAAAAGACAGAGGAGAAGCATACTAGACTTGGTAAGTTGCATGGGAGACATAGTCGACAACATTGTGGACTTTGTCTGTTTCTTTAGCATCAACGTAGGATAGAAGCCAGTTATCGCCCATGTCAGTCTCCACCCTCCAGGTAAGGGCCAGGGTTCCATCCTCTTTCGCCATATAGCATAGCTTGCCCTGTGGATCGGACATGGCTCCCGAAGTCCCCACGAACATCACTTCATGCTCATTCATAGTCTGGATTGTCGCTTTATCGGCGTTTATAGGAAGGTTAAGGGCCTTGCAAGCACCATGGAAGGCCCGCATAGGACCAGAGAAGTCTCGCTTCTCAACCGGTGCCCTATCAGGAGCAGGGCCGGTGTAGAAGGAGTGTCCAAAGGAAAGGACTTTTCCGTCTTTGCCAATCTATTTTTGGCTGATGAGCCGCATTGGTTTGAAGTAAATACATGCAGTGCTTGGTTAAACTTACATTGACGTTGAAGTCAGCGTTATCGATATCCATGCCGTGCATCGTCTGGCGGAAGTATAAATGACTGATTCCGGACTCGCCAACATAGTGATCATCAGCCATACGGAAGGTCATGCCAGGCATCATACGCTTAACAACCTCTGTAGCGGTGTCAACATAGTTACCACCGCTGAGAGAGGCAATGGCGGGTTGTTTGAGCTTCATGTCATCTGAACTCATGTAGCTGGACCTGTCAGCCATGCGGTAGGCATCCAAGTCTACGCCTCGGCCAGCGAGGCTTGTGCTTGGCTGAGGATGCGCGACAACATGGAGCGGTAGGCTAAGAAGCCCGGCAGCGGCGAGGAGAAGACCGTGCATTCTGGGGATATCAAGAGAACCTCAAAAAGAAACTGGGCTAAGAAGATCTTGTGCCCTTTCAATAAGAGAGGGTTCAGTGTTATGTTCCAGAGGAAACACTCTTGGGGTTTATATAAGTTGATATCTCTCTCGCTCGATACATCCAATGCTGACGTTTTCTAGATGCTTGGTTCTCCTCCGCTTTTCTGCTGCTGGGGGGATGCTTGTATGACCGTTTGATCAAGCCTCTCCATTCACAGGCATCAGGCAAGGCCTCTGTCGCAAGGGGGCGTCGCGCCGCATGTTTCCGGCCAAGAGCGTCTCCGTGCCCATTGACACATGCTGATCAGCTTTCATGAAGGACGAATATGAGATCAAAAACCCAGGTAATTGATGCCCATGTATCCTGGAGAATCGTATATCTCGGAAGGCAAGGCCGATTATAGCCAGGGAATGCATTCCAGTGCCATAGCTACCGCACCAGATCGTGGGGTAACCGCTACTTTGCATGGTATAAATATAACTACAAGCCATCAAAGTGAGATAGACATGTAACTTTGCATGATGGATGCGAGATGACACCCGTTCAGCTGGGACAAGGTCTGTTGAATCTGTTCCCCACATGGGGAGAGGCAAGCAGGGCAGAAACGGGATGTAACCCCATAACATGCTTGTTTTGTCGGTCGAGCAAGAAAAAAAAAAAAAAAAAAAAAAACCAATATAAGGAGAACCCGTGCAAGATTGCAAGCATAGCCTTGTACAAGCTCAGACGTGGCAGACTTGCAGTTTCGGCCGTGGAGGAGGGACGGATAAACGGCCTTGGTCTTAGTAGTTATCTGTTTGGCAGTCCTTCGTTGGAGCCGCAGATCGAGATGGGGATGAGATCAGCTGCCAAGCTCAGCGCCCCTGAAGACGAAACATTCTCGAACCGGCTTCTGACTATTTGCTGGATGTGATACTGGAGATGTGATACCTCTGTCTGATGGCATGACTTGCGGGATAAGATCACTGAGAGGCACGAAAAGTGAAAATATTCGCTGTGGGCATGTTTTAGCGCCGCGATTCGTAGGGATGTTTTTCCTGCAGTAGGAGCCTAGCAGGTTTCATACTTTGTCAATGTACATACCAACCATGGATGGAGTGCTTACTGGCATGACGTTGTCAGCGATTTGAGAGGATGATACCTGTCATCGTGATCAAGTACTGTAGACACGGAGATGACTGCTCAAGTCAGGTTGATGTCCAAGCGATGACCACGGTACCGATGTGGGATGTAGGGATATCAGCAAAGGATATCACCACCAAGACCTCGTGTGGTTTCTCTTACCAATCGGTTTGGTCTGTTGCTTGTCCCGAGAAATCTTTCATACCCTGTCAAGTCCGCCGTTTAGGGCCATAACCCCGTATCAATACGGAGAACCTCCCTGCACACATGCAAGGCTGCAAATCCCGTTCGACGCAGCCGTTCTTTGTGGCTTAGAGGCAGTATTATTGTGCTGTCAGAAGAATTATTATTCTTCAGCGTATCTTTACCTTCTTTGTGCTTCATGCCCTCCGCGGAAATTAGTGTTGTTTGACCCGAGTGTAGTCGAATGGCTGATACTGCAAGATCACTCTTTGCAACTTTCAATCCAAATCCCGGGCTGCACTGTCTGAGTTCCATGCATATTACATGATAACTTTTTATCTGAACATATTTTGCATTCAGTAAAGCCCTGGCAGGTTTATGGGAGCAATTTCATGGCTCTTCTGGTGCCGACACCCTTTCGAACAGACGATTCTGGAGATAATAGCAAAGGCCACAGCCTAGAGTGCCGAGTACTTGACGCTGCTGTACTTTAAAGCTGTGCTTTGTTGTTAGCTCTTAAACCCATGATTCTTAAAAATCGCTAACTGCGTTATCGAAGTTTTATCTCTGCCCCAAATCCTTTAAAAACTTATATACTTGGTTGCTATCAAACTCATCGGACGTACCTGCAACGACTACCCAGCTATGAAGACCGGTCATAGTCACGATTGATAGCAATATCACATATTTCTGTAAGCCTCGTCCCGTTTATCTCACCGTTCATGTTGACTTCACAAAACTTGCTTTCATTAGCTTCGCCTGCCAGCCATGACTGCAGATATCCCAGCATTGTGTCCAAATTCCAAACGCCATATAATGCTCTTCCTAACGGTGTCTTCACGTTGCGGACAACATTGTACCAACCAAGAAAAAGACGTAGATTGCAGAGAGTGGCCGGGTAATACTACCGCCGAGCTTGCGATCAAAAGAACTCTTGATCGAATTTTAGAGCAAATGGATGTCACCTCTTGGGACAATGATCATATGTGCTCTCCGTGGGTGTTGGTCGATGCGTAGTCCAGGTTATCCTAGAGTTTCCTAAGGATTAGTGATATCGAAGTTGCTGGCCCAGCTGTCGTATTTGATATAACTGATACCAGACTTCCGTTGTTACATCCAGGAAAACTGGCACAGAAATATTAGTATCAAGGTTATAGCCAGTATTTTGGTTCTTGGGTCTCCCAGTTCGTCTCATGGGTTGTTGACCCAGGTTATCCCTAGCTGACACATCATTGGTATTCAGATTTTCCTTGGATATTTGTTTTTATGGTTTTGGCAAGGATCACACAACAAAAGCAGCTTGACTGAGCACGCGGGAATTATGAAAGGTTATGATACAAGCTGGTCGCACTCGTACGATATCAGTATGGCCCAAATGATGGACTCAAGTCATATGTTTGGCTGGACAAACCTGCCAAAAATAAAGGAAACCACTCCGAAGGTTGTGATAACATTAAAGTTTCGGGAAGTTTATTAGTAATTACAATTAGCGCGTTACATAATTATCGGAATCTTGGCCTTTTGAAGATTCGAACTTCTATAGAGGGTCGTTCGGTTAGCCAACTACCTGAACTGTCTCCTCGCACTCAAGACCTTAAGTCAGTGATATGCTTAATGAACCACCATCTGCTACAGTTGCTTGAATGGTCAAATCTTATAGCGGCATCACTTTATAGCCAAAGATTTTTGAATGAGTCAGCATAATCTTCTTAAAGCGGCGAAATACTTATCTAAATCTGATCTAGCTCAAGTTTTGAAATGAATTACGGAATAATCTATCACCAAGGAATTGAGAAGAAGCTGTGCATAGCAGCATTGCTCATGGACTGGAACCTTTTTGAAGCTGATGGAGGCCTAGTGCAAAAATTAGCTGCAAGATGGCATCGACCTTTGCCTTTGGTTTTGGAGGTGACGATATAGAAGACTTGGAAGGTGTCTCTGATACGGACCAAAAGGCACCAAGTGTGCAAGGAAATAAAAATGATTTGATATTTGACAAAGCAGAGATGCTTAGCCTTGAGGATATGGTTAGTATCAAATCCCGATGTTCAATTATTAAAATATAACATGGTAATAGGAGATTGGAAAGGGACAATAGACAGTGTAAAGTACTGTCATGATACCTTGTCCCACTTAAGCATCTTTTACCACTCTATACAATTATATCACCGTTTTGCTTAATTTCTTACTAATTCTTTATAGCTCGCTTCTCTCCCGTCTCAACTGGAATTTAATACGCAGCTGATAGGTTCAGAATCAGAAGATCCGTTTCTAGTTGCTCGCCGAGAACTAATGGATATCCGCGTTCAACTAATGGCTGAACGAGATATGCTGAACGAGGGCGAAGATTTACTGGTTGGTTTACAGAAAGACGACATTAAACCTACTGTATATGAAGGAGGATTCAAAACATGGGAATGTGCTTTGGACTTGGCAGCTCTCGCATCTCACAGCCAAGAAGGGTTTGCATACTTAGATAGCGGGGGTGAGATTACCATCATAGAGGTGAGGAAGTGAAGCTTACTTTGCAAGATCCCCCGTGCAAGACCCTATTACAAATGTTCTTAAGGCTAATATCAATAGCTTGGAGCTGGCACTGCCATCCCTTCTCTATCGTTATTTCGATGCTTCTTAAAACATGGAGAGGCGAGACGTCGCAAAGTGCGCTTTGTACTTGCTGATTATAATGCTACAGTCCTGAAGTTAGCTACTTTCCCGAACCTGCTACTAACCTGGTATATAACTCGCCGAAGTTCGCCAGAAGAAAATAATAATATCCAGACTGATCCTGCTGTTGATCCTTCGCTAGAAATCGATCAAAGCCTTCTAGAAAGCTTTGTTCGGGACTTATCGGATCATAATATCACACTTTCATTTATATCTGGGGGTTGGTCTCCTGAGTTTGTCGGCTTGTGTCTGGGCAGGCAGGAAAATATGGAAGACGAGGCGATGAGTGATCACCAACAGACTACAATGAGGCGCAGGACACTTATCCTGGCGAGTGAAACTATATACTCTCCGCCTTCGCTACTCCCATTTACAGAAACACTTGTGTCGTTGATGCGTAAAGCGCTTTCGGGCGAAGGACCAAGCATTGCTCAAGGTCATCTTCCCGTCCGAGCGTTAATATCAGCGAAGAAAGTGTATTTCGGGGTTGGCGGAGGGGTTAATGAGTTCCTAAGCACTCTTAGGGACGTCGGAGGCAGTGATGAATTTAAGGCGTTAACTAAGTTAACGATCTCCGACGCTGGAGTAATGAGGACAGTCTTGGAGATCCTCCCTGGGTAATGGGTTGGCTTGAATAGCCTACAGAATAAGGCGAAGAAAAAGGAAAAATATAGGACACACCTTGGGCTTTCAAAAAAAAGAGTGTCTGGCCTCAAAGAGTATTCGCGATGATATCTTTTATGTTTCCTTTTTCTCACCTTTGGCATGTGGAAGTGCAGGGTATTGCTGTACATACATACAAAGTACGTGTCTTTGCTAGATGACCAATGGGACAACCAAAATCTCGGGTATGAAATTTTGAATACAACCGGGCGCATCGAGTACTCAAAAATAAAAGATAAGAAACTGACGTTTTTATCATATGTACAGTGAGTCATAGTCACCACATTCAGGGTGGTGAAAATACCTGGGATCTAAAATCAGGAGGGAAAACAATACATAATATATTCTAAAAATATCTTCCATCTTCGTACAGGGACTGGACCTTTCCGTCCTTCATGCGTCCTACTCTCGCCTTTTCCATATCCGCTTGACGCTTTTCGTAGTGAGCCACAACAGCGGAGAGGTCCCCAGACGACCTGCCAGGGGACATGTTTATAGGAGAGCCAGTATTGAACAACCTAGAGACATCAGAGTTAAGCGATCAGTTAGTGACGTGCAGATAATCGCCCGAGAAATTCAATCGGGGTAAATGACGTTATAACGCAGCATGTATGTTTGACGGAAGATGGGCGTGCAGAGCCGTAAAGATATGCAAGGCAACGTACTCGGGGAAAGACATATCAATAGTCAGTGGAGGATTCTGACTGTGGAACAGATGGCGGTCTGCGGCTGCTTCTTCAATTGCCCGGGTGTGGAGAGCGTTGTTTCGTTCCAGGACAGCCTCACTGGCAGTGAAGGTCTCGATGACACGGGTCAACCATGGCTTTGAGCTGGCATCAGACGTGGAGTATTTGTAGAGTGCCAGACCGACGGGGATAGAGGCGACCGCGATGTAAAATCCGCGCTATGGTATCAGGCATGAAGTGTCAGTAGTGGCAAGTATCTCGGTATACGTTCATAGAAAACCGGCCAATTGAAACAATCATCCGCCACAAAGCTGCCGGAGCAACATATAGCATGATCCACATGTCCTAGAGTACTCTTACGCCTTGGGCCGAGATAGTTATCATGCCGGCCGGCGATGGAGGAAGGGGGCAAGACGTACTCCGAGGTGTTCGTTGACGGGTTCGTGGTGTGCGGAATGCGAGTCGAAACGGCGGGGTTGGCGCTGAGCCAGGGCGCGCCTCGCCGGAGCGGTAGCTCTCCTGGCAAGAAACATGACTGACGCTTTCAATTGGGGCGAGAGCAAGGCCTGGTCGACGGTGTCGCGGAAATGCGTCTGTTCCAAGTCCTTCTTGCTGCTTGGAGCTGCGTTTCTCTCGGGTGAGGTTGAGATAGTGACACGTGACTATTTATGATGACTAAGCTCAACACCAGAAAACTTTCTTTTTGCTTCTTTTTCCGACTTCAAACATCAAAAAAGCAAGACAAGCACCGAGAGATACAGCAAGATACAGCAGGAATACAGGCTTCCTACGCCGTACAGAGGAAGAACGAAGCCTTCTTGGGGAAGACGGCGAGGAATATGGTGCAAGATGCGGAAGACGGAGGCTAGGAGTCTCTCGTCGTCGCCTCGCGGACCTGATTGGCGATCGTGGGCGTGAAAAAAACGAGGCGGGAGTTCGAGATGGGGCTGCTGCACGCACAATTGGCAGGGCGACAGACGGTTTGTTGTCGTTTGGGCTTCGATGCTGCTGCAGTCGACTGCTCTTGAAACGCATCCATCCCTTGACTCCCGCACGCTGAATGGCCAGCGAGAGAGAGGGATGGCCTGCTCTCGTCGTGTTGGCATTCCTTCTAGTACTCTGAACGGGGCTTCTCGCAACTGTTGTTACTATTTCACGACTCTGCGGTTGCGACCGCCTGCATCCACATCGCTACCCGACTAATGCACGGTGAGTTACGGTGGGCAGAAGTCGTACAGAAAAATAGGTTTTGTATAGTGATATTTGGTGCCCAATTTTGCCAGGGGGACCGCTGCCATTGGCTTCTCGTCATCTTTATCCTGGATCCGGAGTGAATTGTTGCTGGATCACCCTTGACGTGGGTGCAATCCGATGCATTGCGCACACTAAATTTTGGCTTGCCCTCTTGTTTCCCAGCCGATATCTTCGAGTCACCGGTTCGCTGAAGTATTAGTTGCTGGGACTGTGCCCTCCTCGAGCAGGTTATTACCTGGTCGATTTCCCCTTGGGAATATTTCCTCCCCCAGAAATATTCTCGCTCACTTTGCATCCACGACGCTTTGATTTTTGCATTTCACGACACCAGCGTTCCTGTTTCATTGCTATTTTCTGTACTTTTATTATTCTCTTAGCCCTTAATATCCATATCCTCTCTTTATATTTTTTTACGAATTATATCCTTGGGAATATCTATCGCATCTCTCGACATTATTCTCGTTGCAACTCAAGAATTTTTTCTTAACGACCGACACCGGAGTTTGGCTTTCATATATTTTGCACAGGACCCTTTATACTTCCAGCACCTTCGAATCTGTCTGCTCTCGGCATACCATTAGGCATTAGGGAAACAATTGCTTGTCTCTGAAAGCAATCCTCCCAAACGCTTTCCCCGCCTATAAGCTCTTCACTTACCACGAGAATATCAGAGTCTCGGTGAACAGCCAGAACAAAAGTCCCAAAGCCTCTACGAAACCGGCTCCTCATTTGGTTGTTATAGCGCTGGGTAACAATGGCTAAGAAGGGGGCAAAGAACAAAGACAAAGAGACCAAGGCCAAGGGTGGCAAGGGAAAGGTTGCGAAAAAACAGCAAAAACAAAAACAGGAAGAGGAGGAAGAGAAGGTTCAGACCGAACAGCAAGCTCAGCAACCCGAGGATGACCAAAGCACATCTGTAGAATCAGAACAAGCTCAGTCACAAACCGAAGATCCACTCCAGAATCCTGAGGAGGACTCGAAGTCTGATGAGGCTGCACAGCCTGTTGAAGACTCAAAACCTGAGGAAGAGTCAAAACCAGAGGCTGAGGTAATACTCGAAGAGCCAACAGCTGAGGAAGAGCCTAAGGTCGAAGAGGAACCTAAGACTGAAGAACCGAAGGTCGAAATTGAATCGACTTCCGAAGAACCCAAGCCTGAAGAGGAGGCTAAGGTCGAGGAGGTGGCGACTGAAGAGTCCAAGGTTGAAGATGAGCCTGTTGTTGAAGCTCCGGCTGTTGAAGAGTCACCAACAACTGAGGAGGCACCTCTGGCTGCGGAAGCACCAACACTAGAGGAGACCGCTCAGGTTGAAGATGCACCTGTCGCTGAGGAAACATCTCCTGTAGAGGACGTAGCAGCGAATGAAGAAGCACCAATCGTTGAGGAACCACCTAAGCTTGATGAAGAGCTTAAGGCTGAAGACGATCTCAAGGTCGATGAAGCACCGAAGGCTGAAGAACCGCTTGACGAGGAAGAAACAAAAGCGGATGGTCAACTAGGCACGACCGAGGAGACAATACCTGACGAGCCCCAACCCGCGGAAGAGGCTGTTTCTACAGAAGAAGCAAGCCCTGAAGAGGCGGCACTCGAAGAAACAAAGCCTCAGGACGCCGCACCGGAAGTCGAAGAGAAGTTCGAAGAAGCAGCGCCTGAACCTGGGACACAGATTGAAGAAGACAACTTCGAGGAAGCAATACCAGAACAGGAGGCAAAGCTGGAAGAAAGTGTGGTTTCAGATGCTGTTCCGCTTCCAGAAGAGGTTCAGCAGGAAGGAGACAAACAACCCGAACAAGCAACTGAGTCAGTGAAAGAAGATGAAAGAGGTTGGGACGAACAAGAGCAAGAAGAACAAGAAACTGTCATAGAGGCTCCTATTGCTCAAAAAGCTCCTTCACCGTCTCCAGCTCCCTCTCAAGCCCAGTCGTCTCCCTCGAAAAACCCATCTAAACCTCCTTCGATCATCCAAAGTCTTCCTCCGCTGCCGAGATCCATTACTTCTACACCATCAAACTTGAGCTTGAGCCAGGCCTTCCCATCCCCAAAGCTCTCCTCCTCAGGGAGTCAAGGCAAGCCCGGAGGAAAAAGCACGAGCACGGTTGCAGGGGATGAATTCCAAGAAGCTGAAGAAATAGTTCCTCCAGTCGCAACCAATACCTCACATAAAGGTCGATCTGCTTCACCTCGATCTCAGTACGATGTAACTGACAGTGACTACCAAACTGCTTACGGGTCTGCCAAAACACCCACCACTAGGGCTGTATCAAACGGAGCATATTCACCATCCGACGTCCCTTTACCTTCACCTTCTGTATCAGAAGCCAGGACAAAATCTGCTTCTCCCCCGGGACCTTCTTACGAATATACCCACCAACCGCAGCCTATACCTGCAGCCGCACCACACTTCGCCTATCCCTATCCATACGCCCATCTTTATCAGCAAAACCCCAACTACCCGAGCAGTCCAGTCATGGAACAGACACCGGCAAATGTGGTTACTCCTCAGTACTCACCTGTTATGCACCCTTCCCCACAGCCAAACTATGCAACTTCTTTCAGCCAGCAGCAAGGAAGGAGGGCTAGTCGATCATCGAGAAGCCAATACGACTATTATTTTGGAAATACATCCCAATACCGCTCTGCTAGGGAGTCCATGTCTCAACCTACTGAGAATGGAAAGCCACACTTGAACGGTGAACGTGACCTTGCCGACACGGTTAATCTTCTACATCGCATACAAAATGTTATCCCTGACCTTAACAAACTTGTTGTCAGCTATCGTGAGGCACAGAGTCAATTGTCCGCCAGAGAGGCCGAAAACAAGCAAATCGAGGCCCAGCATGAACAGGCTCTCCTGCACAAGGAGTACTATATCGAAGCCTTGCAGAACCAGATGAGAAAGGTTGCCAACGAACATGCAGAGGAGTGCTCCAAGCTGAAGGGTAAAATAGGAGCCCTTGGAGTTGAACTCAGCGATCTGCAAGAGAGAAATAGAAACACCGAGGACACATTAGTTGAGACTCAAAAGGCAAGGGACGAGCTGCTTCGTGCTCGCGATGAACTGGAAAGCGAGGTTGATCATATTCAGAAAGAGATCGAAGCAGCCCGCGAAGCACACGAACGTGACGTAGTGAGACTCAGAATGGAGGCTGAGAAGTCAGAAGAGAAAGCGCTTGCTGAGCAGAAGGAAAGGCTAGAAGACCTATTCCAGGAAATCAAGAATGAAGATGACAGGATTGCTGCTGAGCATCTCAAGGCTCGTGAGGATGAGCTTCTGGGCCAGCTGGCAGCGAAGCAGGAGGAACTGGATGCCAACGAGGTGGCACTCAAGTCGAATGTGGAAGAGCTCAAGATCACCCAGGAAGAACTGGATGAGAAGAAAGCTGAGCTTGCGGAGAAATTCTCGGAGCTCGAGGCCCTCAAAGAAGGGTTGGCGAATACGAAGAACGACCTTGAAGCCAAACAGCTGGAGTGCGAGTCTAGACAAAACGAGCTTGAACTTACTCGAAAGGATCTCGAGGAGACCAAGCGTCATCATGAGGAGGAGCTCTCCGCCTTGAGAGACGCGTTGGACATCCAAACCAACAATGTCAGGGAAATCAAAGAGCGCTTGGCCAACATGGTCCTCGAACACCGCAACCAAGAAGAGACCTGGCAGAAGGCCCGCGAAGGTTACGAGGCCCAGCTTAGCGAGAAGGCTGAAGAACTGAAACTCAGCAACGAAGAGAAGGAAGTGCTCGAACGAGAAGGTCTGGCGAAGGAGGAGAGACTCCAGAGCATAGTAGAGGAGATGCGCCAGACTCATAATAACCTGAACAAGGACCGTGAGAGGTTGAAGAAAACGCTACATAGCCTTGGAGAAGCGACAGACATGAAGATGAAGGGAGACTCGTTCTTGTAAGTCAGTCGTTTCGGTGTATATGAGATATGACTGTATTGCCTTTGCCCACGAATTCCCTTTTTATGTCGTTCATGTAGATGGCAGGCTTCAGTAGCATGAGGTGGGCCAGACCAAAAGTCGTCGCATGTTTTATCTTACACTCATTCTTTTTTTTTAATATTTCGTTTGCACAATAATCAACATCTTTTTGGGTTCATGGTCTAATTTATTCTTCTTTTCTCAATCTAGCATTGAGTCCTTTGCCGAATTGTCGCGGCTTATCGTCGAGGTATCCAAGACTTACTTCACCTACCTCCCTATTGAACCACCACCGGATATCCTCGCCAAGATCCCATCTGATATCCCGCAATTTTTGGACAATACCCCAGCATCCCGAGAGCTCCGTGCTGCCTATGTGCAGCACGTCATTTCCAAGACCCTGACCTATAGGATATTCCAGCCTTTCCTGTTCACCCTGGGAAGACGATACGATAAGGCAGACACCTTTTTCCAGATGCTTTCTATCGACATCCGCCGCAAATCCGTTCGACGCGAAGCTTTCTGGCGACAGCAGACACTTAAGGCAGCATACACCACTTCTGATGCCAAACAGGCCATCAATGTCGTCGCGGCTGTTATAGTTGATGAGATTGTTGACCATATCCGCCACTTCACAGACCCAACGCATCTCGACGCCTTGTTGACAAATGTCCGAAAGATTGTCAAGCTCGCAGCAGAGACATGGCGATTGGCTCGCGTGGAACGAGAATTGATCACAGCCACTATGCCGTCAGCTGAGGACGAGCAGACTGCAAATGAAGAATGGGAAGAGTTCGACTATGAGTCCAATGCACCATTGCCAGGGGGCGAAGGCACAGCTGAGCCGCCGCTGACGCCAAAGAAATTCCGCCGTCCTCTTCTCCGAATGCTTCCTCGTATCTTCCGAGGAGCTGTGCATGAAGATTTCCTCACTGAGGATGACCATGAAAAGGCGTCTCCCTGCACATACCTCCGAGGAGTCATCTTATATAGTGACTCTCCCTCCGTCTTGGCCAGACGGGCTGAGATGTTCAAGAAAAAGCCAGAGGCGGTTGGAGTGATTGACGATGCAGAGGATGCGCGACTGCGAGCCGCATCTGCCACTCCGCCTAACGCTAGCGGGAGGAGCCCTTCCCCGAAAAGCCCTACTGGGAACCGATCGCCCAGATCAAGAAGATCAAGGGAGAGGGCCTTTGGCCATGATGACTAGAACAAGGGTAGGTGGGAATAAGGCTGAAGCTGGTTTTTCCCTATCATCGGCATCTATCATGTCATATTGCGTCAAATGTTTCAATGTGTTTCATGATTTCGTATTCAAATTTTCTATTCTTTGTTTCTTTTTCAATTTATCTCCAGATCGCGTTTCTATCTTCCATTTGAAGTTTGACGTTACGATATTTCTTCTTTATCTTTGGAGCGTTCATTTACGGTGTTTCTGTTTCTCTGCATAGCATTGCACGTCCATCGGTATGGCACTTGGTAATTGTACAATTGACGACAGGGTTTGCTATGGCCACGGAGTTAGAAAGGCGAGATAACGATTTACTGACTTCTTTATCTTTTATTCATATGGGTTAATTTCTCCTATCAACTAGTTAGCTATTCATCATGAGCCACTCCGTAGAGATATACCAGATTGCTTTTCAGTGTATCATTCTCGCCCCTTTCCCACACCTGTGGCGCAGTTAATCACCATCGGTCACTCTTCATCTACCTGTATCTGCCTTGGGCGTGGACGGGGAGAACAGGCTTAGTTGCCGGCCCGCCTTGACCTTCACTCCTTACTTACGCGAGACCTCCCACCCTCCATCTGATCTAAATACTCCGTACCCTTCCGAAAGACCATCAAACGTTAAGGCAAACACACGGATGCTATCTTGGTCGGCCTCTCTTCTCATTCCCCCTTACTCCCTCCCCCCCCCCTCTTTTTTTTTTTATAGATTTAAGTCGGAGGTGGTTAGTTAAGGTTGCGGATCATGTGACGGCCCGTCCTCCCCCTGTTGTTAATTTTGACGTCCAACATCGAACGTCCAACTGCTTTCTTGTTGTGCAGCAAGCAGATAGCATCTGGGCAGCGGACGACGGAGAAGAAGAAGAAGAAAGGTGGCAAGGCGAATAATGGACTGGGCTGCTCTGTCATTTATGACTGCATGAAAGGGCCAAAGAGCGTACTGGGCGTTCCCCCGAATCAGCCGCGTGCTGCGCCATTCCTTCGCATTTGCTGGGCGAGGACCGACGGGGAGGATTAATAATTAGCTCGCAATGGCTTGCAACTAAAGGCTTCAGCCAAGCAGGACACGAGCAGGACCGACAAATCGCATGGGAGCCTGTCTGCGTGCAATCCCGCCTGACGAGGTCCAGTCCAGCGCTGCCCGATATTCTCTCCGTTGGATTGAGCATATCTTCCCCTCTGCTCGCCAATAACCTCAGCACCGCTCTCGACCAGCCCAACTCCCGTATTCTCATAACAATACATCCAGGAGGCTGGAGGTACTCCGTACGGAACAGGGAGAAAAACGAAAACAGGAGATCGATTGGCCCGAAGTTTCTGTTGGTTGAAGGCGGCTGCTGGATCAATCAGATTAGGTGGAGTCGCCTGTGCCATTCCCGCCTCAACCACTGGATTCTCTCGAAAGTCCCATTTATCCTCCCCATTATTGTTATTATTGCGGTGCACGGTACCGTACCAACCTTGATTCGCACCCAACTTCTCTCGCTCTCGTACCTCCAGCGACAAACATATCCAGCTTCATTCTAACAGACTCTGGCAGCGGGATTCCTTTCGACGGCTCTCTACCGGCCTTTTGTTGGTGTAGCCGCGATTAGCGATATTTCTGCTACTGCTGTTTAATTTTTGCTTGAGAGGTTCCCCGAAAAAGCACCTCGTATCTACGGAATAGGCCGTTTGGCCATTCATCGCATTCCATCATATTCCTCCTTCTTTCGGCCATGTTTCCATTCTGCTGTTGAGGCATTGTATCATCCTCTGCCATCTCGTTGCGCTTGCTCACACGGACCGGTAAACGTTCGCGAATCGGTTGACAAGGCTGTGACCGTCGCCATCGACTCTTAGCCCAGGCAGCACTCGATCACACCAAACGAGGAGCCTAGTGCAATCAAGCGGACGCAGGACAGCAACCATCTGGGGCCTTTCACTCGGCCTCCTTTGGGAATAACGCCTAAGTATCTAAAGAATGTCGACAGGAGCCTCCAAGCAGGTATCCAGTATAGATCGAGGTCTACCTGTTCTAGGGGAGGAGAACTTTGATGATCCGTTCTTGAACCAGCTCTCTGACGCTGAACTATCCGGACTCCATCAGGTACCGACACCCTCTTCCTACTAGGTACAATCAAAATAAACGTAGAGGCAAACTTCTTTTTAGCTAACAACGAAATAGACAACTCCTGGCTATTTCTCTGATTCATCGAACCATTATCAACAACCAGGAGTTTCTACAAACCACAGTGACCTCACATCACCCTCTTCTCAGCTAGATTTTCTGAGCTCTACCGAACACACTGAGCACGGTCTAAGTGACTTCACACGCTTGACTTCGCCAGACTTTGATGCTCCGTTCTTTGCCTCTGCAGACCCGCATTTGAAGGCAGAAGTGGCGGATGATACTAGCGTGCTCTGGGTCAACCCTCACGATATAGATAAGAATTCACCGAACGGAAATAACTATACACCACAGAAGAGATATGTCGGAGCTGGGACTGGAGCTTCGCAGCTCCTGAGTCCTGTACCCACAAATACACCAAGTCCTATAATTAACCCACAGGTTGATCAGCGTGGGCAATACTCAACCAACGAACAAACCGCCGTTTCCCCCCAGTCAATGACGGGTGATAAACCGTCGCGAATGACTGCCATCTCGTCCCATAACCCCCCTACACTCATCACCCCCAATAATACGAACAAGTTGCACCCTTCAAATATCCAGCCTAGTATGGATCACCAGGCCAGCCCTATTGTGAAGGTATCGAGCTTCACCCGAGGCGATTCTCCTTCAAGAGCGGGCGACCAACTAAACCACGCACCAAAGCAGTCCACAATGGATTGCGGACGCCTCTCTCCTGCTAGGGAGACCCGAGAAACCTTCTTTGATAGTGACGATGAAGATGAAGATGAAGAGGAGAACGATAACCATAATAGCCAGAAAAAGCCTTTCTCGATTCCACCTCCCGCAACACGGCTTGATGATGGTAGTTGGTCCAGAAATCCAACTACTGGACATGGTGGATTGGACCCCACCGCAGGGGAGGATGTTTACGTTCCAAGTTTAAAGGAGTTAGCCGCGCAACGGGAGAGAGATGAGAGGAACGCCGAGGTTGCACAATGGATAACGCATAGCGAAGCACATGGCGATGTTGATGACAATAAGCTTTGGAACTTCCGGTCCCGGCGCAAAAACAAGTCTGATAAAAACAAACGGCGGGCTAAGAGCGCTGGAGACCCTTTCTTAGGCGCACAAGACGGTTTCAGTTCTAGGTTTGCCTATCAAGATTTTGACGACTCTGCCATCCCCGGCCCTGGAGTGCTTATTGATGAGGATAGTGGCATGGAAGATGATGAAGATGACTCCTCTGCTGCATCATCCAGTGTTCCAGAGTCACCCCCAGCCAGCGTCCATCCCGAACTTGTGGACGATGATGAATATAATGCTCCTACTACTATCCCTGATGCAGAACTTGAGCCTCTGCCAAATCAATTTCTTCGCGCTCGACCATGGCAGGATTCAATAAGGAATACCCGTGATGGTACCACAAAGTTCCAACCTACAACATCCAATGCTGCTATTATGCGCTTCTTAAAACGGGCTGATAGTACCGACACTGCTTCTCGTGCTGCCACCTGGGGAACGCGCGGTCCAAGTGAATGTGACGTTGAGAGTATCATTGGCCCGAACGGTCGGTTTAGCACAATCCGAATTAGCGAGAAGAAAAAGGACAAGCCTATAAGGAGAAACAGCCTCCTTGAACACGCGAGAGGATTTTTGCCCAAACGGAGCAATAGTAGCTCGAAAAGAAAACATCAGCTGGATTCTAGTCAACGAAGCCTAACACCAGAGCAACCGCCTACATCATCTTCTGACGGCGCTGCACAAAGCACCAGCTCCCTTGTACCTCAGCGCAAGTCCAGCTTTAATAAGGGCAACAAACATAACACAGGAGGTGCTATACTTGCAATGACCGGACAAATGGCTACCGTTGGGCGTGGAGGAGGTGTTGGTGTTCCGTCACCCGCGGTGACAGCTTCAAACACTCCTTGGAGCCATATTAAACGACGCAGCCGAAGCAAAAGTGACCTCACCAAAGGTGAAAGCCCCGGAGGTTTACTTGACCTTATAGGAACTCATGGAGGACCGCCTATTCCTACTCTTGCCTCCCCGAAACAAGGGAAGGGGACCAGTGCAAGCCCTCTTCAATCGAGATCTCCTCACGATAAACCTGAGGAAAATGATCTCGAAGGAGACGACGACGATGATGATATGGGCAACGAAAATGGAGTCACGATGGAGTTCCCGGTTCGATCTGACCCCATTGTGCCAACACTTGAAGGATTCAAAACCCACGTCAGACAGCTTAACCCTCGACTGCAGCCTGCATTAATCGAGAGAATTGGGCAAGAACAAGTCCGGCGATATAAGAGATTGGTCGAACTAAGATTAAAGCACACACAAAACGTTAGTAAGAACAGCTGCAGTGCGGGAAAGCACTGTTTTGCCCAAGGAGGTGAAGCCGTCATGTTGCCACCTAGAACGAGCCCCAAAGACCCCGAAGCTACATACGCTCAGTTCCAAGTTCCTGGAGCGGCGGTTACTCCCGAGGATTTGGCATCTTTCGGTGAAGGTGCTATCACGCCCGCCTTATTCCCCCCGGGGGTTCCTCTACCACCTGTCAGGCGTCTTCCTGCCGAGTTTGAGTGCTCCCTATGCTTCAAAGTTAGAAAATTTTTGAAACCTTCCGATTGGACAAAACATGTTCACGAGGACGTCCAACCTTTCACTTGCACCTTTCCAGACTGCACGGAACCAAAGTCATTCAAGCGAAAAGCTGATTGGGTGCGACACGAAAGCGAACGACATCGCCATCTAGAGTGGTGGACATGCAACATGCCAGACTGTTCCCATACGTGCTTCCGCAAAGACAATTTCGTCCAACATCTTGTTCGGGAGCATAAGATGCCTGAGCCAAAGGTGAAAGCAACAAAGATCAAGAGCAAAAGTCAGCAACAAGATGGTAACGGCAACTCTCATGAAGCCACTTCCCATGCCCAGGCTGTAGAGCAGGTTTGGAAGCTGGTCGAGATTTGCCGCCAAGTTACGACTAAGCAACCGACGGACGAGGCCTGCCGGTTCTGCGGAAATGTATGCAATAGTTGGAAGAAATTAACAGTCCATATGGCTAAACATATGGAACAAATCGCAATGCCCGTGCTGGAACTGGTTAACGATAAAACCTCCAGTGGAGGTGCCATTGGGTCTTTGGGCCACGCAGCGACTACACCACAATCCCAGAGGAACATGTGGACTCCAACTAACCACGCGAACCATAGTGTAGAGAGCACGCAGACCACTCGTGCACCAAAGCCCATTACCTACGGTACCGATGCTCTCTTGACTGAGGCATTTGGACTCCCTCGTGAGCCGGTACCGAGGGAAGCACCCCAGCAGCAAACCCTTGAATATGCAGTCTTGTCGCGAGCCAACCTAAAGCAGCAGCAATACTCAGTTGGGCGTTCATACACCATGTCTCCGTATCTGCAAGCCCAACAACACTATCATCAAGCGCAGAGTCACACTCATAAGCAATACTCCAACCACCTCAATTCCGCCTCGTACCCTCCGGCCTTCTCTACTCTACCTCAGGACCAACAATCCATTAATGGACTTCCCATGCTCCGGCCCCTTGCAGAACAAGGAGAACCTGCTATATCTGGCAACGATATGTACGGCGATATGGGTGGCATATCTTCCAATGCACCAATCCTAGACACTAAGTTCGAAGGGGAGCAAATCTTCGCTTCCCCGGTCGATAATGGATCTTATATGTATGCGTCGACGGGCCAGGAGGCCTTAGAATACAGCATGGGTGATAATGGGATGACCTATCACCCCATGATGAACACCGTAAATTCTGGATTCATACAAAATCCGCAATATAATCATGGGAGCTAGTGGCTGAAGCCAAACCAGGGCGTTTTGGCGAAGTGATCTTTTTTTATTTTGGTGTATTCGATAATTTTGGGGAGTTTCCTTGATAACATGTTGAATCTTTTCGCCTTTTGACCCCATTTTGTAAGCTTCTATTTCTGATTCTTTTTTTCTTTTCCTAATGATGTCTTGCCTGACTTGTTTGGAAGTCATAACCTCAGCAACCGCTCACCCCTATGTCCCTGAATGTGCTTTGGATAATTTACGTACCAACATTCATATAATATCACTGGTTCTCAATTGATTTAGCTATATATTCTCCATCGTTTCGTTGACGATAACCATGGGGAGGGCTAGGGAGAAGGAGTTTGACTCGTGCAATCCGCCAATGGCTGGTGGTTGCTACCGCCACCACCCATAGGATAGGGGTAGCAACTTCTTCACAACCCCCGCATCGGGCGAACGGAAACCAGATACATTGGGCCCTTACTTTTTTTTTTTTTCTTTACGGGCAGAAATAAATTCCACACAGGTTACAGAAGACATGGCCTAAGCACATAGCTAAGTCGTCATCTCTGGGGAACTGAACGCTGACATCTCTTTACGACAAACCTCACGGGGAATATGAGTTTTGCAGCGTCAAAGGGTTATCCCTGAATAGTCACCATTATCAATGCGGAACTCCCAGGCTTTGATTCCCGAGTTGATCGTCACGACGCCTTTCATATAGAGTTTAAGCTCCGGCTTGGATAAGAATCAATTAAACCATGGTATGCTGTGGTCCCTCTCGTCTCATTCGCATCTCCCCTTTTCATCTGAGGGTTCCGTACGTCCTAATGCAATTTGGCGACATCCCGAATCGCTATCCGCCATCTCTTATATACCAATATTAACTATTTGCTCCAGTATAATGGACGATTCTTCGGAGCTCTTCGAAGTCTCAGGGGCAACGAGTATGTGGTGAGGTCTGATAGTCTCCAGAAGGCAGTCGCACAGAGAGAATTGGCCATGTCGGTTGGCCCCTGAGCTTAAACTCAACAGAGTTTGATAGAAGCTTGGTTGAAGCTTCGGTCCCGTTCATCCATACCTCGTCGAAACGCTCTCTGGTCAGCGAAACGCTTGCATACCGCAAACGCTGGTGATCCTACTGGCGTAGGTACGGAGCATGGGCGCCAACTGATACCCCTTCATTCTAGAGACGTCTCGGGTCGTCCGATGCCACATTACTGGTTCGTGCGTGGACGGGGCGGCATGTCTTCATATATAAGGGTGCCCGCTGCTGGCTTATGGCCCAATCCCCCAGCTATGCTCAAGCAATTCGTCCACTCTTTTTAACTATGTTTTTTTTTAAAGGCGTTCTCGCCGTCCTCTCTTTTTTTTCTGCAGTAAATGCTGCTCCGCTTATAAAACCCAACAATGTTTCAGCGAAATATATTGAAGATTCCTACATCGTACTTTTGAAAAGGGATATCTCCCATGATGACTTTGAGTTGCATAAAAGATGGGCCAGCGACGTTCACAAAAGGGACGTGGCTAAAAGAGGTGTCTCATTTTCTGGCATTGGGCATTCCTGGGCTACGGGCTCTTTTAGGGGATACAGCGGAGTCTTTAGCCGCGACACCATCGAAGAAATAATGAAACATGAACATGTATGACACGTTGCGGTATATTCTCTTGCGTAAAAGGCCGTTGGCTAACTGTCCCTACGATAGGTTGCACACGTCGAGCGAGACCAAATAGGTACATCCCAGGGCTGGGTCACGCAGTCGAATGCTCCAAACTGGGGACTTGGACGTCTTTCAAACAGCAATCCAGGAAACGCCGATTACACCTACGATGAGGGTGCTGGTGGAAATGCAGTCGTCTATGTTGTTGATTCCGGCATCGACGTCATGCACCCAGAGTTTGAGGGACGCGCAACTTGGGGTGCAAACTTCATTGACAACAACAATGTCGATTGCTGGAACCATGGAACGCACTGCGCAGGTATCGTTGGCAGTGTGTCTTTTGGCGTTGCAAAGCGTACAGCAATGATTGCCGTCAAGGTGCTGGATTGCAACGGCCAAGGGCCTTACAGTGCTTTTATTGCTGGACTCCATTGGACTATAGATCACGCCCAAAATAATGGTTTTGTCGGCAGAGCGATTATCAACTTTAGTCTTGGTGGTGATAACTCACCTGCAGTAAATGCGGCACTGGAGGAGGCCCAGAAGGCTGGTATCTTTGTCTCAGCAGCAGCTGGAAACCAAGGCGTGAGTCATATCCTTTTACTAGCAGGAGTAGCTTATCACCTGGCAACTAACTTCTGATAACTATAGACTGATGCGGGGAGAATCACACCCGGTGGCGCTGGCCTGGTCTGTGTTATTGGCAATTCGGACGGTAGCGACTACAGATGGACTGGGCAAGGTCCATCGAACTTTGGGCCCAGAGGTGAGTCAGGTCTCCCTTCTGCATCCCTGTAAAGCGCAAAAACAGGAACTATCCGGTCTTTTCGTAACAAGTGCTGACTGCTACAGTTGATGTATTTGCCCCCGGCACTCAAATCCTGTCCACCATCCCCGGGGCGGCAGCGGTGTGATGACGGGCACCTCCATGTCTGCTCCTCACGTTGCTGGCCAGGCTGCTATCCAAGTATCTATATCTGGTGGCGGCTTTGATCTGAAGGTTGCATGCGCCTTCTTCAAGAAAGCTGCATCTGCGTCCGTCAAGAATCCTGGGCCCAACACCACCAACAGGCTACTTGTCAACGGAGCCAGCGGGACCAAAGATCCAAAGCAGGGTGAGAACCAGCCGAACAAACCCCCAGGCCAGGACGAACAACCAGGCCAGAACAAACCCCCAAGTCAGAACCCACCTCCAAGTCAGAACCCACCTCCAGGCCAGAACAAACCCCCAGGTCAAAACAAACCCCCAAGTCAGAACCCACCTCCAGGTCAGAACCCGCCTCCAGAACAACCAGCTCCAAGCCCACCTGTAAATCCAGGCGGTGAGCCAAATCCAGGTGGTCAACCAAATCCAGGTGGTCAACCATATCCGGGAGATCAAACAAACCCTGGCAATTCAGGCCCGTCGTGGTGGATGCCATCCGGCGGCCTGAATCCGCCAGCATGGTGGAACCGTCGACCGTCATTTGGGGGCTGGAATAATCGGCCAATGTGGTGGAACAGGCCTCTCTCCGTGTGGAAGCTGTGAGCGGATGCAGCAAAAGCAGGTTTCTCTCTGATTCGCTTCCTCTGTAGATATTTAGACGCGAGCGGGCCTCATATTCTTCCAGAGCCCCGAGAGCAAGCCTCTCGGTTCTCACTCCATTCATTATCAATCACCCATTCCTCATCTAAGTGTATAAACACCATTTAGCTCCCTTTTAGTTCTAGAGTACTGTGTACAAAAGTTTCAATATACTTTGCTTCAGTTCGTTTGTGTCCGCTTTCTACCTATCCTATCTTTCAGCAGACTCAATCAGCCAAAGCTACCTGGCTAAGCCCCCTTCGCTGCCCTGGGTTTGTTTGATATTGAATCTACATTTTGTCACTTTTGCACTGCCTCTTGATCAAAAATAAACAGCGAATCAAAAATCTACACCAGCAGCCAATAGAAAAAGGCCACTATCCTTACTGCCTTTTACCATTGGCTGCTTTTGACGAAAAGGCTCGTCTTTATGCAGTCTGCCTTCCGGCATCTCTTTTTCCTGCGCTCTGATTGGCCAGGCCACCCTCTCAGCCTCAGACGCAAAATGCGCTGCCTTTTCTCGCCTGCAGCGACGCCGTCCTGATTGGTTTTGCGGTCTCGAGGATGCTGGATGCCTTGCCAGGGAGCTGCCGGCGCCGCTGAGGACGGTGGAAATAACTAGCTGATAGTTATTTGAGCGTCGCTTTTTCCTGGTTGTAAAATCCCCCAGCAAGATGTTGGGCGACTTCACTACTCTCTACCGTCTTCTCCTCGAAGGAAGACTCCCCCCCTATTTGCCCATCGTCTTGCTTTCCCCCTGGCAGGAGGTGAGAGAGAGAGGAGACCCTCCTGGCTGCTGCAGCCTTGCGTCCTCCGTACTACTTCTCTTCGTCTCTCTCCTCCTATCAAAAAGGGAGCAGAAGTGGGTGAGATCTTTGACGTCTCAAACCTCATCATCGACCGTTATCGAGGATCCCGAAGAGTATTATATGAGACTCGAGTTATCTATATATACACACATATAATCCCTTCCTCAGCTCCCATATAGTGGTCGAGTGTCAGTCTCTCTTCTCTCCGGATCTCTTTGGCAGATTTGATGACCCTGCTCGATGCTGAGTATGCTTACTCGCTTGACATACTCGTCTTCGCCCTGACGCCCGGGGTCTGCAAAAGCATCGAACGGTGATGCGAGATATAGTTCCACTCTCTTTGGATAGCATATTCCCTTTCTTTCTTTCTTTCTTTCCTTTCCTTTGCTCGAAGCTCAGTTTGATCATAGTCGACCAAGACATTCAGATCCTATAGTTCTGTTCTTTCATTGCAATTAAACAGACCATGGGCCGCAACGACCAATCCTTCCTAAGCCCTTTCCTCCCACACACTGAGTTTGCCTCACCCACGCAGACGTTCCAGGAGACTGACAGAAACCTGAATGTGAGCCGGATTGACCTTCTTCAGGGGATCCGGCAAGATGATGGTTCAGTACAGCAGCCTCAGTTATCATATCCCTCATCTGTCACCATTCCCGGGCTTGAACCAACTACACAGCCCACTACTCCTTTACAACATCCTGCCGGTGATGTGCAGCAGCCTTTTTATGGGCAAGGTCAGACCCTGGCCGGGTCTCCAATCTTCCCTCCCCAGCCCAATATCACCAATATATCCCCTATCAGTGTCCCGGATACCCGTCCGCTAAACTACTTTTCAAGCCAACGCAATCCACCACTTGGTAACGGTATCACGTTCGCAGATATAGCGCAACAGTCACAGGTATATGGTCAACAGTATCACTTCCCTACACCGCAGACGGCAACTCCATATGCCGGCCCTACTGGGGGTACCGAACTTCGGACCCGGTCCCTTTCAGATTCAGGGTATATGTCCAGGATTTCAGGAATATCTGGCAATACTTCGTTCCAGGGAACTTTGGCTAACATACCCCAGAGCCCTCAAACGGTATCGTTCAATCAACTTATTCAACCAGGATTCACCCCTGGTTCGCAGTATACCCCTGATCCCCAACCGGAGACAAGCTCCCTCCTCAATGAGCCAGCCTCGCAACCTAAGCCAAGAAGGAAGAGGAAGGAACGCAAGGTTTTTTGTCCAGAGAAAGATTGTCCCTGGACGGGCCGCTGCCCATCAGAACGAAAGTAAGTTGGAAATACATGTCTTGTAATATAGCTCACAGGAATACTAATATTACTGGCGTTCTTAGAAAACATATCCATCAAAAGCATACAAAACCGCATGCATGCGACTTCTACGGCTGTACTATGACATTTGGCTCCAATAGTGACCTGAAAAGACACAAGGAAAGCCGTCATCCATCCGAGCGTACTCCACAGTACAAATGCTTTGCAACAAAAAAGAAGTCATGCCTTGAAAGCACTCATATATTTACAAGAAAGGACAATTTCAGAACACATCTTGTCAAAACACACGGACTTACTGAAAATGAGGTGGCCGAACATATCGTCTTATCCAACAAGTGGCTCTTTGACACCAAAAGGGGATCAATGGAAACGCGTGAGAAGACTCTGCAGTCTCCAGTCCAATTTGACGATCACGTCCAATCTACTCACCCTCAACCGCAATATCCTGCCAGTGTTGATATGAATCTATTACGACAACTTACTCCCGCAGACTACAATCCAGTAGAAGATGCTCTAGGGGAAGAGGAGTACCTTGATATGGCTAGAAGATTAGAAGACGATATGGAAAGCATTATAAGCAACTTTTGCAAAAGTAGTGGCGACCTCAGCATACCCGGTATTCAAGAACCTGTGGACTACAATGGACCGAGCACCACACCTGGAGATTCATATATAAACTTGGCTGACAATCTAATTGCCCGCAGTTCAAACCAGCAGACATCGTATCTTCCTCAAATTGAGAACTCCGGTGAAAGGGAATGGTCTCTGAGAGAAGTTGAGCGGAACTTTCAACAACCCGTAAGAGTTTTCCGCAATCTTTCTTAGCCATTCGACCCAGCCCCCCATCTCGCTAATCACGTTATCGTCTAGACTACCGCGCAAACAGTTGTTGAAAAGGAGAAATATCCATGTGCCGAGCCAGGCTGCAATGCTTCTTTCAAAATTCCTTCCCTCTTGAAGTAAGTTATCTGTTTTTACAATACTTTTTATCATTGTGGGGAAATAGCCCTTATCTACAATCTTATAACAGTCAGACTAAAGATGTTGTCAAAATTCCAGGAAGCACAGGAAACGGCACCGTAAGCCTTACGGTTGCACATTCAAAGATTGTTACCAGACATTTGGCAGCAAAGCCGACTGGAAACGCCATGAATCATCACGCCACTCCCACCTTGAGCGCTGGCGCTGTGGTGACCCAGATATTACAGACTCCTCAAGAAGTTGCGCTAAAATGTTTGAGCGTAGGAGCTCGTACGAATTCCATCTTAAGGTCCATGGGATCGACAATGAAGATGAAATATTGCAACGTCTTAATGGAAATAGGATAGGAGGTGACTGCCAGTTCCGATTTTGGTGCGGTTTTTGCAATGCTTTAGTGCCCGTATTTACCGAGGGTTTTGCTGCCTTGATTGAACGATTCGATCACATCTATAATGAACACTTTGAAAAGGGGCAAGATATCTCCAGCTGGGTTCTCCCAGATAGTCATCTTACCAAAGGTGAAGCAAAGCCACAGTCTCTTGGAAGGGCCCTACAGTACGCTGCCAGCGCGACGGAAACCACAATATCTGAGAGTGTTGATAGCAAGTCGCTTCTCGAGGATGTACCAGAGATAGAAGAGACCGGCGCTGCCCCTTTACAACGTAACGTCCGCCAAATTCGAACATTCCGCGCAAGCTCAAGAGGAGACGTTCGCGAGTCTCTATGTCACCACCTAAGAGCCTGAAGAGCGACGTGACATAGCAGGCAACTCAGAAGCCCATCTGCCCTACAGCTGAAGTAGCCCTGA